TTATAGCCTTAATGGAATGTGCATTAAATATAGACCAATGAACATGATATGATATTTAATCTCAATTTGTCACATTTCAATATATCAATGTTTTTAACAATTCAAATTTTGTCAATAATTTTGGCATATAAATAATAATAATATATAAGAATAATTATATCATATGCTATTGAAGTTTAGACGGTATAACAGTGAACATTGAACATTGAGCCTATAAACTATTAACACCTAGCTGATGTGTTAGTTTGGTGTTGACATTAAACTTTAGTTTGTATATTAAGTTACTTGTATTAATTTTAACATAGTCAATCTCTCATCAGTTTTCATTCACGGTAAGATCCATGTCAAAACATTTGCATTTCTCTTTTCACATCGAATTAGTTTTTCACGAAACCCACAAAAAATTGACAAAAATTCATCTAAAGGCTCTGGATTAGATGTTTTCTTAAATTTGAGTTGTAGTCATTTGTTCAAAAATTTGAATATTGAGAAAAGTTCTTTCAAGAAAGCGAACATTATACCTTAAAATTAATTTCATTAGACAGTCGTCGAAGGAGAGAAAATTAGAACATTGAAACTTTAGATATATTTTTATGGACTTAAAGTAAGTTTCATTGATCATTTACATCAGTTTCCTTGTTCAAAATATGTAATCTCTAACCATAGATTGATAATATGATAACATGTAATCTACAAATGGACATTTTGTAGATCAAAAAGGGGACTGCCGAGTGGGAAAAGATCGCAAACGAGGCGGCGAGGACTATTCCGGGAAGAGAGAATGGTGGAAATTGTGACATCAAAAACCTCAGTAGAGGTTCAAAAATATATCTTCCTGTTTTTGTTGAAGGAGCTAACCTTAGCACAGGTAACATGCATTTTTCCAAGGTGACGGTGATGTCTCATTCTGCGGAGCAATTGAGATGAGTGATTTTCTCGAGCTTCAGTGAGTTATTTAGCTCCATCTACAATAATTTAGACTAAAATCAACAATAGTTCTCAGGCTGTTTCGTGCATTCAGTGGTTTAAGTAATTGGAGTGTGATATAACAGGTGCGAAATCATAAGAGGTGGAATGAAAGAGTTCCTCACACCAATGAAACCAACCCTTATTCATGTAAATCCTATCTTTGAGATCGGACCGGTCGAACCGAGATTCTCGGAATGGTTAGTTTTCGAAGGAATAAGTGTGAATGAGAGTGGAAGGCAACATTTCCTTGATGCAAGTGTTGCATACAAGCGCGCGGTACTCAACGCCATCGACTACTTCTCCAAGTTCGGGTACTCGAAAGAACAGGTATGTTGCCTCATCATTGAACTTGAAGAAACTAAGACTTTTGCTGATCCATAAGAAACAACGGTGATCATCAGATTTACCTTTTTCTATCCTGCTGCCCTTGCGAAGGACGGATCTCCGGGATGGTAGACTCACCAAACGCCGTTGCAACTCTTGCAATTCCAACTGCTGTCTTCGACCAGGTATCGTTCTCCAGAAAATTAACACATAGTATCATCATTCAAGATTTTCAGGCCTCGTAAACTCGACTTGCATGATATAAAGTTCTAAAGAGACAATGTGCAGGACATTCGTCCGAAAGCTGGGAAGGTGCCAGTGGGGCCTCGAGTAGTGAGAAAACAAGATGCGTTAAAATGCAGTTACGATGGAAATCTTGCCACAACGAAGAACCCAGCTGCCTCGATGTAACTCAAGTCTAAGGAGCTAACAGTAACGTAAAGAATAAGTTCCAACTTTCTGCTTAGCTAAAAACAGTGTTTCAAACACGACCAACAAGATCATATCCCTAATAGAATGTTCGTATGTTATAAAAAAATTCTTAAAAGTCCCCATCACTACGCCCTACTATATAACATCTGTTTTGCAATTGCACGTATCTAAGATGATCTCCGTTGAACACTAATACCGATCATTAAATCTAGTCAATAAAATCCACTAAAAGTGAGAGAAAGTATCTTAAGAAGGAGGTGCGTAGGGGCAGTCGCTCCCACTAAAATTTCAAAACTATTATATATTTTAAATTATTTTATATATTTTCTATTAAAAGTTTATTTTCAATTCCATAAAATTTTATAAATTCAAGTTCGTTCTCTATGAAATCCTACTTCGTCCCAATCGCAAGGAAATTAATGTTATAAACTTTAAAAAGAGAAAGCAAAAAGAAGAAAAGATAATAGAATATTAATTTCTTGTGTGCTAGAAAACACTCCAAGTATTTAAATTTCTACATAACCTTACCAAAGTAAAATAATATAACTTTGTTTTTTGATAATTTGATTTTTATTACCCAAAGAAAGAGCTAATACCAGATACAACTGTAGGAAGCAACCCACCAACAGTAAATAAACAACAACTCCCTACAAGCAGCCTAAGCAAAACAACTCAAGAAAGACAACTAAAAGAAAAGCAAACAGTAAATTGCAAAATAAGATAAAGAAACGTCCCGTGAATAGCCACCGCTTAGGGGCTTCACACATGTCTGCAGGCGAGCGACCAATAGAACGGTAGCAAACAACAAGCTAGCCGATGTTCCAATCAAGGCAAAGTTGTAAATTAACCCTATCAGCTTTGTTAATGCTACAACCATGCAACTTAACACTGATTGTCTGTTTGATAACGTCAAAGACCTCATCAAGCACCCGAGAATGACCTCTAAAGTGTCTGAGATTACGTTCATCCCAGACAAAGTACAGAAGACTAATCCAAGCTAGCTTCAGAATGCAGACTAGCAAGGATTTCCCCTTAAAGTTGGTAGCAGCCCAGGCCAAGGTATCATTCCAACACAACACCCTATGGGGAATTCTGCAAGTCTGCATGATTTTACTCTAGAGACTAACAACAAATATGCAATCATTAAACAGATGATCCCTGCTTTCTACCTCATCACTACAGAGCTCACAATGCCCATCTAACTCAATCCCCATATGAATAAGTCTATCCTTAGTTGGCAGCCTGTTAAAAAAAAACCATCCAAGCGACAATAGACATTCTAGGGATATGGAGAGGGAACCATATCAAGTGTTCCCAACTGACCTTCTCCCTCTTGTCTCTCAACTTCTCCCACACCCAATAGCTTTTAACCAAATTCCAGTCAACTACACTGCCGAATAAGCCAGCATCCTCTATTCTAAACTTAAGTAGCTTCCTCAAGATCCAGCTGAGCTGAGGCTTATAACCAGCTTCCCAAAAAGTAGCCCCCTTCAGGGCATATTCATTAATCCAGGCCACCCAGAGAGACCCAGTATTTGCAAGGATGTTTCTGATTAGCAAAAAACAACAAACCTTGTTCCTGCAGCCCAGATTTTTTAGACCCAAGCCACCTTCAGACTTCAACCAGCACATTTGCTTCCAGCTGACTCTTGCCCCCTAAAATAATATAACTTTCTTGTGTAGTGAGAAACATAAAATCTTTGGATTTCTTCACTTGAAGGAAAATAATCGTCCTTCTACTTTAGAATAAGTAAATTATGTTAGTAGTGCAAAGAATTTCATATTGGATATAAACTTTTTAGATTTGATTAATTTATGTATATTTTTAGACAATCTTTTTGATAAAATATTATTTATCCATTGTTTATATTTTATATTTTTAGATATTATAAAATATTTAATATAATTTATAATCATTAAAATAATATTTATGATAATTAATTATTTTATAATTGTTATTAGATATTTTATCATTTTATCCCTGCTTTGAGTGTAAATAGATTTTGGTTTTCTCATGTCCGTATACAAGAAAGAGAAAAATTTCTTTTTCTCTTACAATCTTCGTTTATTTTGTTTCTTGAAATATTATTTCTTAATTCCATTTTTACGAGAAGAGCAATACTGGTTGATTTTTACTTCGATATTCAAAGTGTATTAATATTGAAGAGTTGTATTAACCTCCGGAGACAACATCAATTTCAACGATTACACTAATCAAAACGAATTTACTCTTAAGGTAGTCATTTTTTTAAAAAAAATTTGATCTATTTCATTAAAATTATTTTTTATGTTAATACTAATATTTTTTGGATAAATGAAGCATTTAGTACTTAAACTATTATTTTTAGTTTATTTTAATACCTAAATTTTAGTTTTTATTTTATTTTAGTACCCCGTTCAAATTTTAACATTATGTTTTGAAGAAAAAAATTAGATACTAAAACGGACAAAAATTAATTGATTGTTTATATATTAAACGCGTCAACTTTCAATCAGTCTTCTCACTCTTGCACTGTTTTTTGTTCCCTTTTTGTGCAGTGAAATGGATGAGATGAAACATTTTCCCCACTGGCACAGCTTGAGCCCCATACAAGTTAAGAAAGAGGATGGCAGTGTGTACTGGAAGGCGTGCTCGGAGATTATCCATGGTCCTGCGTATTATTGTAAAATATGTGTTGATCATTATTGGTTTTTTATGCACAAATCATGCGCCGAGTTGCCCCATCTAATACAAAGAGATGCTCTTCATCCCCACCCGCTCAGATTTAGTATTTTGCCATACTCCATTGTGTGCGATGGATGTGAGAGGCTGTCAATAGCTCTCATCGTTTACAAGTGCAACCATTGATCGTTCAACCTTGATGTTAGATGTACAAGTGCTTTTTTAAACGATAGTGATGGACTATTTATCCATCAGGCCCTGCAAGAAGCCAGGCAAATTAACACTACGATTAGCCATTTCAGCCACAATCATCCACCCACCCGATGTAAGTTTGATCTCCTAGAGAGAGCTGTGGGGTCATGGGAACTAGAATGCATGGCATGCAAACATGAGCTTCAAGGGTCTCGAGACTTAAGCATGTTGGATTCGGAAATGTCCAGCACGGGTATGGTTTAACTTTTTCTATTTTTATAAATTTGAAATTTTTCTGAAGAATATATTTTCATATTCATACATCAGGTATCGATATTTCAACAAAAATAATGAAAAAAACTGATATTTGTATCTAGCTCCATAGCAGCAGCATAGAACATACTGTGTTTATATTAGAAAGTAGGCATAACATCACAGTAAGATTATGCAGTCGAAACTTGAATAAAAAAGACGAGACCCAGAACTGTACAACATAAATACCCCTCCCCCCTTCAAAACAAAGATAGATCACGCACTGTACACTCTCTTTCCAACTCTTCTCCTTTCGTTCTACACCCGGCTGTCCAAAACTTCCCTCAATTCCATAAGTCCTTTCCTGGCATGAAAGTAGAGTCTATTAATTATACAAGTATAAAAGAGGTAATGCTCCGCTGAAATTAGAGAAAACCTATCACCCACAATATTAAGTAATTCTTTTAGATTGGTCGTCATCAACGGCATTACAAGCATCGCCGTTGACATTTGTCTCAGCGTCAATCTCATATGAAGAAAGCAATTTTCTCTGTATCACAAAGCAATATCTTATAGGTTTAGGAACAAATATATAGATTAACCAAAGAAAATAATCAAAGTTAGAAAGTTTTACGAGGTAGACATTTTACCAAATGATAAGTCAGAAATAAAAGTCGGGGACAAGCTATGGCGCTACTAAACGAAATCATCCGACATCAAGAAATCATTAATATTTAAACAGGCATATATGTGTGTTGATGCACTAAAAACATAAATCTCTTCATCTCTTAAATTTCCAGCCTATTAATATCACATAACGACTTCCAAGATTCAAAACAAATCATGCACAGAGCCACTTGCATGATGCAAGACCCATCAATGATAGGAATCATCACCATATTTTGTCAAACTGTTGTATTTCTATATTCTGACTACAGAAATTTCATTGTGGTTTACGTGGAAGAAAGCACGGTGCTGCAAATTGTCGACCCCAAAGGATTATCAGACCCCATTTATCTTAGGCTGTAGCGTTGCAATTCAAACAATATCTACCAACATAAATTTTCTTGGCGTTCAACCTCTTCACCTATTAGAATTTAGAAGGAAAGACAAACTACTAATAGACCAACATTACTACTTTTACTAATCGAGTCTCATCATGCATATCGTGAAGGAAGAAGTAACCGTTGTTAGAAAGAGCTAAAAAATAGAAACTCACATGATCCTCAAAATCAGGACTTGTCAGATTGATGGAGAGATTTCTCATCAACAAAAGCACCTAAATAGAAGAACAAAAAGTATTAGCAATCACGTACGCAGCAAGATCAAGTCAGATTGTATAAATTGACATTGTAAAAAGAGCATACTGTTTCAACATCTATTGGATCCATCTTCTTAAGTTTCTGCAGATGATCGATAGTGTTTGGATCAAAGACACTACCAACAAAACTGTATACTTGAGCAAAGTCTGGCAACACTGCACCAAGAAAAATGCTAGTCTAAAGGGTGTGAGGATAATATAGCTAGCATATAAGATTATAAAATTACGCTAACTTTTTGACAAACCTCTCAGTGCATGACCTTGATTTCCCTGATCAGATATCTCCCGAATTTGTCTCGTCTTCCGGGTACTTTCAGCGCTACTACATGAGTTATTGGTCATCCCAATACCTATAAATAAAAATATGCAACAACAATTCAAATCTTAAATTTTTAAAGGGGCCAACCCTACCAAAAAATGAGTATAATGTTAGAATACTGGAATTTGGAAGGGAAAAAAACCTTTTTTATCTTGTGCGAAACTGATGGTTTGTGTGTTGTTTATTTGGGAAGATGCAGCAGCTCTAGTAACAGGGTTAATAAGCATCGTTGGGGGATCAGATCTGAGAAGAAATCCAGCATCAAGTAAAGTAGTAGGTGACTGCAGAGGCTCGGATACTTGTGGGTGTCCAAGAGCTGCCACATGTGACACACAGAGGCAGGGTTATTAATTTGATTTTGCTCTGTGATTTTACGGTGATGCTTGAGATCAAATATCCTCACCATTTTTCGAGGCTTTTTGAGGATATGGATGGGTGGCTTTCCTTTTAGGTCGAGGTGGAGGTAGGTGTTCACTTGTTCCATTCTTTTGAACCTTTAGAAAGTACTTCTGGGCATGGCTACGAATCTATAAAAACCAAATGGCACTTTATTTCAAATGTTTTTCGTGAGCATTCCTTTCTGCACCTAATGCTAAAAGAAAAAATAAAGCTCTAATACTGGTTTTTACAGCATCCAGATTTCTAGCCTCTTAAACATATGAAAGCAATCTAAAATGCAATGGAAAGATTACAAAGTATGACTCATAAGAAGAAGAAAAAAAATTCCTGCCTCCCTAGTCACCTGCCTCTATCCTTGCAAGATACAAAGCCAAATAGTCAATACAGTAAATTTTAGTTTTACCTGAATAACAGTCTTCGACCCAACATAAGCTTCAATCTTTTTCCAGTCACGATCGAATCTGAACAGAACCCAGGGAACGAAAATAACAAATGCAAGTGAGACCAGGAAAACCATTTTGGCAAATATAATCACACATAAAGCATGATTGAACATGTTCCGAATGTAACAAGAAGAACCTATATAACAGCTACATAATTAGGAATTTATATTGCATTATTGATGCAGCGGATGCATTTTCAGTCGGACTGTGCTCATTGCAATTGCCAATGCATTAAACAGTAACACAGTGACTTGCATTACATATCGACTATGAATATCGACAAGGAGAGCCAAAACAGCAAAATAGAGACCATAACATTGCGTCCACTGCTGCTATCTAAAATCTCTCGCATCTTCAAATACTCAAATAGTTTATTTCAGTTAGATAAGAAGTGTAGAGGTAACAGAACATAAGAGGGAACATATACAAACTTAACATAAACCAATCTAGAAATGGAAGCAATTTTAAATTTCGAATTTCAACTGAATAGCCAAAGAAAAGTCATAAATTTCCTTTTAGAAAACCCTAATTTGAAGTGGAAGCAAAACAAATTCGTAGCGTAGAGAGAAAATTGTTTGTTACAGTTGGAGAGCTTCGAGGAACTTGTCGTGCTCAGGTTCAGTCCAGCTCTCTCTAGACTTGCTTATAGTGTAGGGCTTTCGGATTTTCTGATTCGAATCCTCCGCAGATGATACCGTGCCAAACGGTCCTAGGCCGGGCAACGCCATTCCAATCGGATCAAGGTAAAAAAACTCAACCGGGTTCGGGTTTTAAGAAACCATGTAAGATATTGGGGAAGTTTTTGCCTTTGGGGGGTAAGCTTTCAAAGAACCGAAAAAATACCGTTCGAAGAATGGCGGCTGAGGTTTGCATATAATCATATCAAGAGGGCTCGTGGTTTGGATTGGAGAGTGGACACTTCCTGGTTTTCATCCGATATGAGAATTGGCGAATAAGAATCTGCCACGTCTTTGGTAAAGTTAGAAAAATATTTTATTCGGGTAAAATATACAAATGATCCCCAACTATAGGATATTGCTTTATCGAGTACCTTAACTATTAAAAGTTGCAAGATAATCTCCTAACTATATGATATTATTTTGTTGAGTTCCCAAACTCGTTATTTTTTGTTAAAAATTTAACGACTGTTTGAGTTTGAAGCTAACTTGTTTACTTAACAAAACAACGTCGTAAAGTTAGGGGACTAATTTTTTATTATATCACAGTCAACAAGCTAACGTCCATCTTAGAAGGCTGTCAATTTTCTAACCAAAAAGGATATGTTCGAAACATATGAATAGTTAGATGACCATTTTATAACTTTTAATAGCTTGGAGACTTAGCAAAATAATATTGTATAATTGATGGACATTTTGCGGCTTTTAATAATTAAGGAATTTAATAAAATAGTACCTTATAATTTTGGGACCATTTGTATACTTTACCTAATATTTTTCAAATTTACTTACTAAGTATGAAAATATAGCATGTAGAATTATTATCTACTTTTTGTGCAATTAGGTACTTAACTTTTTCTAGTATAATTTGGTATCTCAATTTTATTTAATAATACAATCAAGTACTTAATGTTTTTAAAATTTACAGTAGTCTACAATTTTAACACCTGGTTATTAAATTTTTAATCCATTATTTATTTAAATATACTATACCTAATTATACAATAAAAATAAATATTATATTACACATAAATATCAAAATTTATTTACCCAAACTAAAAAGAGCTTGAGTATATCTCATGAGAAAGCCCAAGATAATTTCATATATATTAGCCCAACACAACTTCATATATTAATATACAATTTGTCATTGACCGAGTCTAAAAGTATATCATTAGATAATTATGATACAACGCGAGAAATTGTGACTATGGATAAATCAAAGGGTGATTGGTTAAGATTGTTCCTTAAAAATTTAAAATTTATTAATTTAAATAAATAAAATACTTATAATTATTGTTAATCTTTATAATTTTTTGTAGAACTAATATTTTGATATAACAAATAAGAGCAACTTTTTTTGGACTAAATTGAATTTATTCAAAATTTTCATCAAAATAATTCAAAGTTTAATCAAAACCTTAAAATGAGTATTTTGCCCAGAAGTTTCGAAACTTCTACAAGAGTTTCGAAACTTTCCTAGACAGTTTCCCGAAAAGTTTCGAAATTATCTCAAGAGTTTCGAAACTTTCATTAATGTTTCAATATTTTGGGTTCAACGGTCATATTTTTCAAACGACTCCTTTGAAGAGTTTCAAAACTTTCCCAAAGTTTTGAAACTTTGTGTGCAGAAGTCTTCCAACGGCTCTAAATCTTATCAAACAGCTAGTAACTCATTCCAACATAAGGAAACAAGTTGAAGACACTTGAAGAAGTAAAACAACACCTATCCAAGCAATCAAACACAATAGAAGAGTTCTTCAATCTTATTTTTCTTTCTCTAGTAAATATTAGTGTTTTAAAGAGCTTAAACTTTGTAAACACCTATGTTGTAAGGGTTTTCTTGTTAACATTTCTTATCCTCTGTAAAGGGGTTTTGGTTCTAGTGTAGTCAAGTGAAAAACTAGAGAGTTGTAAAGGTTACTCTTGATTCTTGAAAAAGAAATAACAGATTAGTGGATTTGTTGAAAAATCCTAAGTGAGGAGCTTAGGTAGTGGATGTAGATTTCATTGAGGGAGTTGACCCACTATAAATTATTATACAAATTTTCCTATCTTTATACTCTTTACCCCCTAAACTTCAAAAAATCAATTAACCTCCTCTTGGCACATTTTCGGTTGATCAATAGAGCTTCATCGAATCCAACAATTGGTATCAGAGCTTGACTCATTAGATGGTCTAACAACCTTGAGACGATCCTTGAAGAAACTCTATCCATTTTCGGCACAACCAAGAAGATGGCTTCCACCTCGGCTCGTTCTACATGGAAGACTCTCAACCGATCGACAAGTTTCCATACTTCAATGAAGCTAACTATCGTCCAAATTAATAAAGCTATTTATCCAATCCAATGATCTTGATCCATGAGAGATAATCGAGAACGACTACTCTTCTCCAACGAAGAAGTGGATTGACCAAGAACGAAAGAACTCCCAATAAAATGCCAAGGCCATGAACATGTTGTTTTGTACATTTGGTCTCGATGTCTATGAAGGTGTTTCTTCTTTTTCAAATGTCAATGAGATTTGGAATAAGCTCGAAGAACTTCATGGTGACAAGAAAGAAGCACCAAAGCTAGTGTGCTTAATGGCTCTTAAAGAGCCCAAGGTATCTTCTAACTCTAGTGAATCTAATTTATATTCTTTTAATGAGTTACAAGATGCATACGGTGAATTATTTTTGGAGTTTGAGACCATGAACTCCAAATACAAGAAAATGATTTCAAAATTTAAAGTTGAAAACGATTTTTATTTGAAAGCAAAATTGAATTTTGAAAAACAAAATGAAATTTTAAAAAATGGTTTAGAGCTTCAAAAGTAAAAATTGAAAATTTTGAAAAATATTGTTTTGATTTAAAAGTTAAGCTTGAATGCTTAACAAAAGAAAAGGAAATCATTTTAAATAATTCATCTAATTTCATAATGACAAAATGCTCACATTGTCATTATAATGATCACATGGAACATGCTTGTTCTTTAAAGAAAAGAAAATGTTTTAAATTAGACAAGTATGGGTTCTAAAGGGAACAAGGGGCATTGAAACTAACGTCCAAGGATCCAAAGCAATTTGGATACCAAAATCCAATTGAATGTCTCTTGTAGGTGTGTGGGAGCAAAGGTGATGAAAGTGAAGTTATTCAAATGCATAATGTTTTTGTTTTGATTAATCGGTTTCCTATTTGTTGTATGCATGCATAAGTTTTGAACTTAAATGATTTTGTGTTGATTTTCTATCTCATGTATGTTAAAAAGTGTTGTGATGAACATTTTCTAAAGTTTTAATGATTTTTCATAAATGTTTGTTCATCATAATGAATTTTGGTCAAAATATGTTTTAATGCTTTGTTTTTACAAATTTTAATTTTTGACCTTAATTTAAATGTTTATGCATGTGATTTATTGCAAATGATATCTTTCTAACAATTGATATCAATTTTTCAAATATGTTAAAAAGTGTTGTGATGAACATTTTCTAAAATTTTAATGATTTTTCATAAATGTTTGTTCATCATAATGAATTTTGGTGAAAATATGTTTTAATGCTTTGTTTTTACAAATTTTAATTTTTGACATTAATTTAAATGTTTATGCATGTGATTTATTGCAAATGATATCTCTCTAACAATTGATATCAATTTTTCAAATGCATAACATTTTTGGATAGCTTTATGCACATGTACTTAAATACAACAATTGATATTGCATAAAGTATATTAGACTTGGATATATTGAATTTCATGTGCTACTAACATGTTTTTTCATCTTTGTTGAAATTCAATTTTTTTTAAGTGTCAAGCTTTTAAAGTTAAATTTTTTTTTGGAATGAATTTGTTGTGGGTGAGCTTTTTATTTTTCAAATGATTTTAATGCTAAGATTCTCTACTTACTCTCCATTGTTGTTTTTGAACCTAAAGTTTGAATTATTTTTGATATAACAAAAAATAGGAGAATTATATGTTTGAAAAAATCAATATCAAGAATGAAAAAGGTGGAGCTTTAGTATTTGCTAAAATATTTCTCTTTTTCATTAAATGTTTTGATAAGGGAAACTTTTGCCAAAAACTCTTTTTTCAAAGGCTTTTTTATATAAAAAAGGGGAGATTGTAGAACTAATATTTTGATATAACAAATAAGGGCAAAATGTTTTTGGACTAAATTGATCTTATTCAAAGTTTTCATCAAAATAATTCAAAGTCCAATCAAAACCTTAAATTTAGTATTTTGACCAGAAGTTTCGAAACTTCTACAAGAGTTTCGAAACTATCTCAAGAGTTTCAGAAGCTTTCATTAAAGTTTCAATATTTTGTGTCTAACGGTCGTATTTTTCAAACGGCTCTTTCGAAGGGTTTCGAAACTTTCCCAAAGTTTCGAAACTTTGTGTGCGGAAAGTCTTTCAACGGCTCCAAACCTTCCCAAACGGCTAGAAACAACTAGTAACTCATTCCAGCATATAAAAACAAGTTATGGACACTTGAAGAAGTAGAACACTTATCCAAGCAATCAAACACAATAGAAAAGTTCTTCAATCTTGTTTTTCTTTCTCTTGTAAATATTAGTGTTTTAATGAGCTTAAACTTTGTAAACTCATACCTTGTAAGGCTTTTCTTGTTCACATTTCTTATCCTATGTAAAGAGGTTTTGGTTTTAGTTTAGCCAAGTGAAAAATTAGTGAATTGTAAATGTTACTCTTTATCCTAGAAAAAAAAAGAATAAATTAGTAGATTTGTTGGAAAACCCTAAGTGAGGAGCTTAGGTAGTGGATGTAGACTTCATTGAGGGAGTTGAACCATTATAAATCATTGTGTAAATTTTTCTATATTTATACTCCTTACTCTCTAAACTTCAAAAAGTCAATTCACCTCCTCTTGACATATTTTCAGTTGATCAATCGAGCTTTATTAAACTCAACATATTTAATCATGACTAATTAATTATTAAACTAAATATTTATAATTATTATAATTAAAATTATGCTTGTCTTATTCGAATATAAAATCTAATTCAATTATTATTTAAAATTTAATTGTGTCTTGCAGAATATAATTTATGGCACTATCTTTTCAAACTTCCACTTGAGAAACGAAGAAGAAGAAAACACCATAGTGCTCAACCCCAGGACATCAAATTACAACTTGTGACAAAGTCATATAATCATAGACATAAGAAAGAAAGAAAGAAAACACGTGGTGAACATTTTTAACTTCTCCTTGCTTTCGGGGTGACCCCCTCCTCTTTTACCTGTTAAATTTAAGTAGAATTATTTTTTTCTTCCGGACCGATCTAGATTGTACATCTGATTTTAGTAGGTAAATATTTTAACAAGAATTTTATGTCTACATAAAGACTCGAACTCAAAATTTTTTTAAACGATATCAAACTGCGTACCACTTGAATCAATTATTGATTTTGTCATAAGTATATAAATGATAATTTATTTTAAGGAATGAAATTGGTGAAAGTGGGAATGACCTAAATTTGGATAAGATAAAGCTCTACAAAGCTATATTTTCATAGGGGTTTCGTTTGTCAATCTCAGCCTAAGCAACTAAGAGAGGCAAACCAAGAGAATTCAGTCAAAAAGTTAGTATTTCCCCGTTTTAATTAAACTTAAGGATAAACTATACATTTAATATCTAAACTAGTAGTTTTGATTCGTTTTAGTACCTATGTTTTAATTTGTTCAAAATCAGGTCTATTGTTTAGTTTTCAATTGATTTTAGTACATCGTTGTTAAAAGCTTAACGCGTTTAGTATCTAAAATATCAGTTTTAGTATATAACTATCATTTTTTTTCAAAAATAATGGTAACTTTTGAACGAAAGAACTAAAATGAAACAAAAACTAAAGATTTTAAGGGTGGGATACTAGAACGAAACAAAGCCTAAACTTTAAGTGTGATTTTGAAAAAATTTAAAATTTATGTACTAAAACATATCAAAATTGATATGTTAGATACTAAATGCGTACCTTACCCTAAACTTAAAGCAAATATTTTTTGTTGTGGAAAAATATTCACATACATTAACTTGCTTTTAAAACATCTAATAATACTTTAAAAAGTTCCAAAAATCTGCTCTATTATAAGTTCATAAATATTGGTCGACTTCTAAATTTCCTTTTGGACTTATCATCATCATAAGTACTCTATAACACTCCCGTAACCTACTTAGAAACAGTGAAAATTAATAATTATGTAAGTTTTCCAAAATAACATTATAAAATAGATAAATAGTTAAAACTAATTGGAATATCTTCATTAATGGAGATTATGTGAATCTAATACAGATGCAAAGCATGCAAGCATCAAAATATAACAAAGTGGTGTGCAGGGGAGGGGATTCAACGCCCAAGAGGAGCGCGTTATCATCCCAAAACCATTTGGGTAAACTACGAATTTAGTACTTAAACAAATTATCAAATTTGATTCATTTTAGTATCTAAACTTTTATTTTTTTCAAATTATACCTGAGATTTAGTTTTTGTGTCAGTTTAGTACCTTGGCCAATATTCAACGTTAAATTTTGAAAAATTGGAAATTTAGGTACTAAAATGAACCAAAAATGATAGTTTAGTTATTAAAAGTGTTAAGTTTTTAACGGAGGGGTATTACAATGAAATAAAAACTAAACATTAAATGTGATTTTGAAAAAAAATAAAAATTTAAATATTAAAATGGAACATAACTAATAGTTTATTAGTAAATAAGTAGTTTACCCAACCATCTTTTGTAGTGGAAAACTCATTATCCAATTAGATTTCGAGTACACAAATCTACAAAAGTAGGGCGTGTAGGATAATTTGGAAGCATTGTCCTCACGAGTTCCACTGCCCAAATTGGCCCGGCCCCACTGTTGATATTTTCATAAAGTCAAAGAAAAAGCCAAAGTGAAAGATATATCATATATTGGTCTAATTATATAATCACATAAGATATTAAATCTCTTTAATAATGTTGGAAATTTAAAATTTAATGTTTATAAATAAAATAAATTGAGTTGAAAAAATTATTATCATATTAATTTATACAGTATCTAATTTTAATTACTTAAAATAATATTATAATTATATTATGTAATGATAATATAAATTTAAGATTAAAAACGGATGAGTATCTTTTCTCTCTTTTCTTACATGTATAAATAACAAGCAATTACCTAGTCAAGTGCAACACCATTTCCTCTCTCTTCTTTCTCTTTCTAATCGTCTCATGGGTGTTCAAATAACCGAACTAATTCGGTTAACCGACCAAACCGAATTAGTTTGGTTACCGAATTAGTTCGGTCGGTTAACGGTTAAGAAAATTTTTAAAATTCGATTAACAGTTAATTCAGTTCGAATTCGGTTAATTAATCGAATTAACCGAAATTAAATTTTAAATATTAAATATATTATATATAACATATGGGCTCAGCCCAAACCATTTAAAACCCAATTAATAATTTAAGATCCAATAACTTTTAAATTTAAATCAATATTAATTAATTAAAAAAAGTATATAATTTTTTTATTTTATAATTATATATTATTTAAATTAATTGTAATTTTTTTTAATTAAAAAATATTATATATATTATATATAACATTTGGGCTAAGCCCAAACAATTTAAAATTCAATTAATAATTTAAGATCTAATAACTTTTAAATCTAAATCAATATTTATTAATTAAAAAATTTATCTGAAATTTTTATTTTATAATTATATATTATTTAAATTAATTATAAACTTTTTTTGAATTAAAAAACATTTAATTTTTATATAAATTAGAAAATTTTAAAAAAAATCGGTTAATTCGAAAATTAACTGAATTAACCGAAATTTATTCGGTTCGGTTAATATGTTCGAAAAAAAGTTCGATTCGGTTAACGATTAAAAAAAAAGTTCGATTAATTCAATTAAAAATAATTCAATTCGATCAGCCACCGTTTTAACCGAATGAACACCCTAGTCTCATGCTCCCTTTCCTTTTTATACGTTAATTTCCTCTCTTTCACACCCGGGGGAAAGCCGTCATTTTCTATCTTCTTTCCTTTCCGCCTACGTTGATTTTGTGCATACCAAAAATGGCTACTGCTGACTGGGATCTTTACGCGGTGGTGAGGAGTTGTTCGTCCACCGTCAACAGGGCCAGCTCCGCCGTAGGAAGCGACGGTTGCCACGAGGACCCTTTGGCTTGTTTGGTTTCATTGACGTTTGAGGAAGAAGATGACCCGTTTGCATTTCCTATTCCAAGTAAAAGTGGTTCTTTACAAGAATCTCACGAACCCTTTTGGAACCCCACCACCATGGGCACTTATCGAGGCAGAGATCCAAGCTTTTCGAGGCCTGTTGACGGAGGATCCAGTGGCCAACATCATCAGATACAACAGCAGCAGCAGCAACAACAAGAAGAAGAACAAGAACAACCCACCATTAGGACGAGCCCAGCTGCTCCTGTTTTCACTTCCGGCCAATTTGTAAACCAGCGACAACCACAGCCGCTGCAGTTGAAGAAACGAGCTCAACAGCACGAGGTTCCAAGAACAAGAAAGAGGTGATGGTTTGTTCAAAAGATTGGAGCTCTGCAGTTCTTTGCTAGTATAAAAATCGTCCATTTTTATCTGGTTTTTTGCAGGAAGAATCAGAAGAGAATCGTTTGCCGTGTAACGGGTGAGAATCTATCTTCAGATCAATGGTCATGGCGAAAATACGGACAAAAGCCCATCAAAGGTTCCCCCTATCCAAGGTTGAATCAATTTCTGTGCGCTTCAATGGCTTCCTTCTTTACTATTTTTTGTTGTTTTTAATTACTATTTTTTATTTATTTAGGCACTACTACCGGTGCACCAGCTCAAAAGGGTGCTCAGCGAGAAAACAAGTCGAGCGTAGCAATTTCGAACCCGACACCTTTATCGTTACCTATACGGGCGACCACACTCACTCTTGGCCCTCTTACCGGAACTCGCTCGCCGGCAGTTCTCGAAGAAACAGGTTATCGACCATTCGAAAGGCCGCTAATGCTTCCTCCACCTCTTTGATCTCTCCAACGATACCACTTTCGGCTTCTGAAGACGGCGCTAACGCCGGCAACGTGTATAACGCAGGTGATAATGGAGTTAAAAAAGGTGAAACCGTTAACACCATGGCTCTCCAAACGTTTCCCGACGTAGAGAACGATGATGATAACGATGTTATTTTGATCCCCAACGTGCATGTTAATGAATATCTTCTCAATGGGTTGGGAGAACTCATTGGCGGTTCCGGCGGTGGCAGTAATAGTATTGGTAGTGGATTAGGACCCAACTGGCCAGCCTTCCGTGGTCAATTTCCTTCTCCGGGTACCGGTAACTCTGCCTCAAGCGCCGGAGCCGCCGCTGGTCGTGAGTGATAGGCTGATTTCAACCTTTATTTGTAAAGTTGTTCCCCCCCCTTTTTCCTTTGGTACATAGAAACTAAGATTGCTCGAAGGAGCTGAACTTAAATTATCATCTTTAATGCTCAGACAAGATTAATAATAGGATAAAGCATATTAGAGGCATTAACTTATGACCGTTTTAGTTATTAAAAAATATTTTATAATAATTAGATATAATTTAATGATTATTTTAAAATAATTAGATGAAATTTAATAAAAAAAATATAATAAATTTAAAAAATATTTTATATTTTTTAAAAATTTAATAAATAAAATAATTATTTAAATAAAATTTAGTCATTTCTAATACCCTAAACAATAAAGAAGAGAAAGCATATTTTACCCTGAATTTCGTGTGTCCATTACATCATACATAAAATATACATTTAGTAATTAAACATTTGTATGTTATAATATTTAAAATTTTAAATCATATTTAATATTTAATATTTATTTTATTCTAGTACCACAATGTTAAAAAATTAACGTGTTCAATACCTAAATTATCATTTTTGATATGTTTTAATACTTAAACTTTTAATTCTTTTCAAAATTTAATGTTATATTTTGAACGAGCACTCAAATAAAATAAAAATTAAATTTTATGTATAATTTAAAAAACTAAAACACTAAAACATATCAAAATTGATAGTTTAGATATTAAACGTGTAATTATATTTGCACCATTTTCGAGGGGTTTAATGTATTAACAGCTCAAAGTATTTTGATTTTCCTTCTCATATGGTAAGTCAATATCGATTATGGAGTATAATTTCAGACCGTGAAATCATGTTGGGACGCCTTATTACGAGACAAAAAGCAAAGACATCCTTCTATTTCCTGTGGATTCACACAAGCGGACCGGAATTTGGCAATTTGTTAGCTGGATCGGTTCCATGGTTAAATGTTTTCTTATAAAAAAACGCAAGATCAGTCAAACTTATTTTATATGATTTGTTAATATTATATATATGATTAATTGGTTTAATTGATTAATCCAATTTAGTCAACTATTTGTTCACCCTGACATGTAAGATAACAAAAAAAATTCATTCATAATGACCGATAATACATTTGAATCACTATAATTAACTATTTAAACAATCATTATAATTAAAATATTAGGGTAGATTACACCGTTCTTTACTAAATTTTACTCTATCTCCTATTTTATTTATTAAATTTTTTATTTTTTTTATTTTACTCACTGAACTTTACAGATTAAATAATCTTCCTTTGACGTTAACTCTCTAACGGTGTGACGACGTGCCATTTTTTATTACCATTTAATATAAAAATAATTGAAAATATAAACAATAAATTACACTGGTCCTCATTGAACTTTTCTTGCTCTCCTATTTTGCTCACCCAACTACAAAATAAAAAATATAAGGTGGGGTCAGATACCACAGATGGCCACCGTCAATCGTCGTAGGTAGTGGTCGTTCGGTCTCAAATTTCATAGGTCGCTTTGCCTCGACACCTTGAGTCCGAATCCAACCTTCATTTTATCGAAACTTACTCCAAATTCCACGAATTGGAGATTAAACTGAGGAAGCCGAAACATTTGAATCGAGATTCATGGATTTTATGACATTTTTCGGTGAAACAACCACCAGTTTTGGACTTAGGGGTTGAGACGAACTGACCCATGAATTTTGAGACCAAACGACCATCATCAACGACGGTAGACGGTGGTCGGAATCAATTGTGACGTGGTGGTCGACGACAGAGTAGAGAGAAAAATAGAGGAATGAGCAAAATGATTCAATCTATAAAGTTCAATGAACAAAAAAGAAAGATGTTAACGATGTCATTTTGGTGTATATTTGAGTTTTTCAAAACGATGTCATTTTGATGCTTGTACCATGGTACAGTTAGAGAGTTAATGGCCGAGTGAGCAAAATGATTCAATCTGTAAAATTGAGTGAGCAAAATAGAAAAATTGAAAGTACAATGAAAAAAATAGGAGAAAAAGTAAAGTTCAATGAGAAACGGTGTAATTTACCCTAATTAATCATTATAAAGTATAATTTAAATATAATTTAAATCACATGAGCTGTTGGGTCTCGGAGCTACCGATGTTACCTTCCACTGTGTTGGGCTGTTCGTGTTTTGACCCAAAGTGCAAATCAAGACTTCGAAAATCACCCAAAGTGCACAAGGAGCAGTCGGCTGAGATTTATAACGCGATTTCACCATCATTTAAAACTCAACTAAAAATGTTCCCGCGATTGATCTGGAGGCCGTTGTTGGCGAAGGTGAAGGAAACGACGGGGATCGTCGGATTAGACGTGGTCCCCAATGCCAGGGAAGTTCTTATCGGTTTCTACACGAAAACCCTGAAGGAGATCCAGGCTGTTACCGAAGACGAGGGCTACCGTAAGGCCGTTGAAAGCTTCACGCGCCAACGTCTCAAGGTTTGTCAGGAGGAAGAAGATTGGGAAACAATTGAGAAGCGCCTCGGATGTGGCCAGGTAAGGAGTTAATTGAGGAAGCGCGTGACGAGCTCATTCTTATCGGGAAAATGATCGGTTAGGACCATTTAATCTCTCTTTTTTCCCGTTCTCATTTGATTTCTTCTTCTTCTATGGTATATGTCGTTGTCGTGTATTAGTTAAGTTGGAAAGTTTGGGGCTAATGAAGCTCAATCTTATCGTTATGCCAGTCTTTGTGTTAGATGTGTTATTTGCCTTGCTGATTGTTCCAGTTTTTCTTTAATCAAATCTGTGTCCATTAAATCTTTTAACAGCTGAGAATTCTTTGGGAGCAGAATATGCCTCTATTTCATAGGGTTAACATATTAACATTAATCATTTTTTTATCTATGCTGCAAATTGCATGTTCACCAATTTCCTCAATCTTCAGAATTTTATGTATTGAAACATGAACCTTTACTTGGTAACTGTTACTCTAATGTTTCGAGACTTTAAGAGATGCTGTTTTTCTGGTTGCTTTGCTTGCCCCTTTGCATTGTAATCCGTTGCTCTTTTTCGGGTAAATGTTTTGAGGCCGTTGTATTCGTAGGTTGTTTGATGTTCTTTGAGCTGTACTCTTGGGTCCAATTTTGTAAATTGCAAGAAAATTTATGATATTTTGCATTCTTCTTAGTCATAATGTTTGTTCTCTGTTGTGTTGGGCTGCAGAGTGGGATCCCTGGGGTGTTCCCGACGATTACGAATGCGAGGTTATCGAAAACGATGCTCCAGTTCCGAAGCATGTTCCACTACACCGACCCGGTCCTCTTCCAGAAGAGTTTTACAAGACGTTAGAAGCTGTTTCTAAGAAGGATGAGCCTAAATCACATCCGGAGAGCTGCAGGTAAAGGAGTAGGCTGCTGCAGGCAGTTAGCTGAAGGCACCGAGGTTTCAGAGTCAGAGATCGAGTTGTTCTCTTGTTCTTGTTTGTTAAAATAGAGTCATGCCTGTTTCCATCGATGGAATCGGGATTTAAGCGAAGATAAAAGCTGGACTGTAGCCTTTCAGTTGATAATAAAATCGAATGGCAGTGGTCACAAAATTTTCTTGTCCTATCAGCTTTTCTCTCTGCAAATACTATTGTATCTTCGCTAGCGTGTTCTAAATATTGTGCTTTCAGTGATTGAATCATTTGGAAAGTAGTACTAGATCCTTTCATCCGCATCCGGCCGTCAACTCATTCTTGTATTTGTAACTTGGGGTTTAGGGTTTATTTGATGCTCAAGTAAAGGAGGTATGTATGCAGAACATCGAGCCAATTTATCCTCGTTTCCATTGTGCCCAAAACATAGATTCGAATGATACGGAAAGTATTGTATTAAGATTATACGATATAGTCCTACAAAACACTACATTAGACGCTGTTGTTATATGCTAAACTACAGAAATCTCAAACAATCCATGTAGGACTCAAACCCCTAGGCATTTCCCCATACTACGTACTTCACATAAACACGAGGAAAATACCCCAAGATAATGCCAAGGAATCCTTTCTCGAATAACCCTGTTCAAAACATGATGTAAGTGAACTGTTCCTACAAAGAACCTTTGCTTTTGACAAATCTAGAGGAAGTAAGTGAACTGTTGTTTCTGCCTTGAACCTCCTTCTCCATATAGTTCATTCCATTGCTTCGGCTCCTCCATTACCGATCCTTCATAAGCAAAGCTGACGGTAACCTAGATTGTAGAATTCAAAGAATGAGCTTATGGTTCAAAATTCATTTATTTTCAGCTATCGAGTTCGGTATTCAAATCGGTAAAAATAGGCCATGGATAAGAGATAAGTCAGAGTCCGAAGAAAGCCGAAGGTGTGCAGTACTAGTAACGGTTTAGCACAGTGCAATGACTATTAGAAGTAGGATTTTTTACTTTAATTTGGACTCGAGTGAGAGTGACGAAACACCATGTTTGATGGACTAGTTGCACAAATATGCAACTGTGCCAAAAGGGTCCTCGAATCCCTTTAGACGACAAAGATATTATGACCAGAACTTACCTGATTCTTAGCTTGTCTCATATCTTCCATGTTTAAAGGCCTCAAAGTAACAACTCTTTCCTGATTCTCTTCTTTTTTGTCTCTGAAACATCTTCAGTGCTCTTACCAGCTTCTTCTCTCTTCTTTTTTTCCCATATAATGTTATTGAAATCAGAGATAATGTAAGATACCAATGGGAAACGGGACTAAAGAACGATGATGCATCAGAAAGAAGTACTCACGACTCACGAGATTTGTCAACCTCTCCTGCTGAATCAATTCTCGAACAGGTCGATAAGCCGCTTTGACACACAAGTTCTGCTCCTGGTTGTGAATGACATCAGTTCATAACAGTGAAATACAAATTAATGACGATAAATGTTAACGTGAGAATGCAAACCTTGTGGTCACTTCCACTGTATACTTGTGTCATGGATGCAAGCTCCTTGGTCATTAGGCCATGTATAATTTATTAATTAATTTATCTAAATAAAATATTGTAAAACATTAATTTTAGATGTACAATATTACTTCAAATTTTAATTAAGCGTAAACTCTTATTTTTACAATAGGTCTCGAAAAATTACCCACGACATTCACTTGTGCGCTCCTTTCTTCTTGTAATGTTGGGCAATAATCGGTTGGGTGGTCTAGCATCGTACAAATCCTGCATACTCTAGCTGATCCGTTCTTTCCTGCAACAAGGGAATTAACAAAATTAGTTAATTTATTGGTTTTATCTTCAAGTGAAACAATACTTACTTCGTGAACCCGTTGGCTAGGTTCACTCGATACGCCAAACTGTTGAGAGTTGGTTGCCATCTTTGAAATTAATTCCTTCGCTTGGTTTGGTGTCATGTTGACGAGAGCTCCCCCACTAGCAGTGTCGATCATTTTCATTTCTAAGGTAAGCAAACCTTCATAGAAATATTGTAGAAGTGTTTGTTCAATCAATCCGTGTTGCGGACAGTTCGCACATAGCTTCTTGAATCGCTCCTACTAGTCGTAAAGCGACTCCTCGTTCTTTTGTTTAATTACTAGGACGCTTCGCCTCAGTTTACTTGCCTTCGCTGTTGGGAAAAAACTGTCAAGAAAAATACTATTTAAATCTGTCCAAGTATTTATTGAATTTTGTGGTAAGTAAAATAGTCATTCTTTTGCAATGCAAGAAAGAGAAAATGGAAATGCTCGTTATTTAATTTGGTCCTCGGATACTCCTTGAAGTTTCATGCTTGAATAGACCAAATGAAATTCGGCTAAGTGCTCTTGTTAATGCAAAAACAACAAAACAAAACTAGTAGTCTGAACAAGGAAATCAAAACGACTAACAAAACAATAAAAGAAATCTGAAAAGAAAACAAAGCTAAAATTCGGCCATCCAAATCTTTACTATAGCAAATATGAATCTATGTCCTCTTCGTGCATGTCCCAAATAATCCCAGTGATGACTAAGATAAGAACATCACTGATTTGTGTTAGCTTACCATTGTGTAACAATTTGTTCCTCGCAAACCACAATGTCCGAACCACACACAATAGTTCACTATAGCCCCTAGAGTTATTATTCTCCAGGAGCCAATCAAACCAAGTGTTAAAGTCCCAATGATCACCATGAGAGGGCCAATGATAATTCATAGCTTGTCAATCCGCTTATGATAGGACACAATCTCAAGCTACATGAACACATGTCTTAACAACTTTCGGGCAAATCAGGTAAAGAGGTTCCATAAGGAGTTGTTGAGAATTTAAAACGTTCATAAAGCAGTTAAGTTCTAAAGAAAGTTTTTTACGGTAGAAAATGCCATTATAGTTTTATAGTGGGAGGTTTCCCATTATAATTTTCACCCAATGTAGATGAAATAAAGAACGGAGGCGGCATATCTAAATGGGAAGGATCGTGATCATAATATCCTTCAAAACTATCAGTTTCCAAGCTAAAAATGCCCATATCAATTGGACCATACGCAAGAAATGGATGAGCAAAGAGGATAACGTCATCCGTAAAGTAAATGCAATTGGATCGCCATCCATGGAATCGAGAAGCAACGACCGAGATGGAGCAATTGTCGCCCAAGAACAATGCATCCTCCCCAATGTTGTTTGCCTCGACAAGCCTTGCCTCGTCATCTGCACGTCGCTGCAGCTAAAAAACCTTGAAGTTTACTGTCCAATGGTGCACAGTCACATACTCTTCATCAGAAGTCCTATAAAATCTTTGAACAATCAAAATCTCACCATCGGATGATTCCACAATGTACGTTGATGCAATACCAACTCCCCATGTTTAGGTGGTACTACCATCTTCTCCACGAAACTACTACTGTTTGTGTTTGTGACATCGACCGATATAACTCCAAGCCTCCAATCCACAGGATAGGCTTTACCCTTAACAAAGATGACATCGTCTTTTACAATCGTTTCCAGATCAGACGTAGTGTAAGTCCAGCTTTTCTCACCCGGCCGGATGATGTTAATTGAACCCAAACACTCAAAAAGTGCTAAAACCATAAAATCATTTGGATTTACGCAAGGATCATCCGATAATATTACCTTCTTGACGTAGAACTCATATTCATCTTCCTCGGTGGTAAACTCAATGGCACAAATATCAACCGAAGGAAGATTAATGATGTCATCATTGAAAGGGTTTATGAGTTTAATAGCTAAAGTGTGGTCTATAGTAGCGATCCACCCGTACGAAGAACCGCAGCATCTTCTGTTGTAGCACCGACAACTCCAAATCATACGTTTTTTGTCGATGATGTCGTACAAAACACGCCTTTCTGAACTCTTGTCTTTGATGGGAATCATGAGTAATGGAACTTGACGATGGCATCTTTTCAAGATCTGGCGGCGTAACAGATGACTCTCCATGATTGTTGTGAGCCAAGTCTTGCAAACAAGGCAGAATTGAACAAATCGAGAAATAGAAGGAACAGACTTCTCTGCTATCAAATCCTGGATATTCTTGGGAAGATTTGTCCAATCTGCTTCTTCTTTTGAGGCTGCCATGGCAAAGATGCATGGAGGCAGGGGCGAAAGACACTTTACAAAGGCTTAAGTGAAGTCTAGAATAAAATTATAAAACTAGGGTTTAGGTTTTGTGGCCTAACTTAAGTTAATCGTAGTATGATTTTTAATTTGATGTAAATCTTGGATAAAACTGTAATAATAAGGGTTTTTGTTTAATTAAAATTTAAAATAATATTATCAACAATCATATAATTTAGTGAGATGAGACACTATATCTCTTAAAGTAAGAGGTTCGAATCCTAGTGATTGAGAATAAAGTAAATTGGGTTTGGATGATCGTTTTTTCCTCTACAATACCAATAGGATACAATTTTGTTTAAACCACTGAAAATTTGGGATTTAATAAAGATAACTATTATTGTTTGATTAGTGTAGGGTTACATTTATTTGCTTTCATACTGTATTAATATGGTATTATCAAAGTTACCATGTATTGATCTGAGTTTCAGAATAAATAAAAAGGCCTGAAAGTTTGGTGCTTTGCAGGGGCATTGCACTGAAAACCACAAACTCGAAAGACAAGACCAACAACATCCGAGATTTGCTTTTGACACTGACAGGCTTGTCATCTGTTGGTCAATTCCTGAAATACTTGGACTTGGATCTACTCGTTTACATTAGTGAATCCGAGTTTTCAGCATTCGAAGATGATGCAGAGTAAGGGATCCAATAGCAAAGCCTCAAATATGATGTTTCGAACACGAATCTCCTCGTTGTTAATCTCCATGTTTGAAATTTTTGCTTCTTTTTACGTTGCTGGCCGGTCTGTTCTCTAATTACTACCAGACCCACCCTTTTAATTGTAATGTAAAATTCATTTTTACTGATTAAAGATCCTCTTTTTCATTTACTGATATGAAAGTTCCTTCTTTTTGGTGGAATTTAGATTGTGGCAGGATGCACAAACCAGGGTTTATTTTATAAAGGAGCTTGATAGAGCAACAGGGCTTGTGAGAATTTATCAGCATTTAGCTTGGTGTTTAGTGTTCTTTATCATTTGATTTTGGAATTTAGCTGTTTTTTGGGTTTCATTTATCAAATTTGCTTTGTTTCTTACTGAAAATCATTGCCTGCAGGTAAGGTGGATTTTTGTTTATTTTGACTAGTGTAATTTCTATTGCAACGTTAGTGTTTTGTTTTTTTATCAAGGATCCCCTTTCTTATTAGGGAGCAACAGAAGAAATTATCGGCCCTTGAGATGGATCTCGCTGCAGCTAGCCGAGAGGGTTTTACTTCGAAGCGATCATCGGATACTAATGGGGCTGTTTCGAAGAGAAGACCACTTGTAGTTATAGGAGTTCTAACAGGATTTGGCCGTAGGAACAATAGAGATGCTATACGTAAGGCGTGGATGGGAAGCAGTATGAACACTTGACTTTCCCCCATTTGTTATTGCATTCCCTGTTTGGCCAGATTTTGTTTACTTAAGTGGATTGTTGTGTAAATGGATTGATTTTCTTTGAGTTTTAATAGGGAAAGAGGGCGATGGAGATCATTGTGTTTTCTGCTCAAATGCTTGTTTAATCGATCCCTTCTATAGCTATTAGTCTTGAGTATTGGGGGACAAGTTCGATATATGCATCTTCGACTAGCAATTTTTGTGCATCATACTAGTGAAACTTGTTTACTGCATTCTGCATTTGTATTGAGAGATAGATCGATTTGTGAATGATGATATATTTTTCGTCCGTTGGGGAGCCAAAACCTGAATGTTTGATTTTCCAGGTGCAACTTTGAAGAAAATGGAGAAAGAAAAGGGCATAGTTTCACGATTTGTCATTGGAAGAAGGTATAATTATCTCTACCAATTTTTCACTTTTTGTTCCTCGGGATCTTGCAAAATTATGAAGATGGTAAGCTAGAATCATTCTTAAGTTGCATGGTTTTACAGTGCAGACCGTGGGGACAATTTGGACAGGAGCGTTGATGATGAAAATAGGCAAACAAATGACTTTATGATTCTTATAAGTCAACGGTATACAAGTTATGCAAAAAAAATTATTCTTTTAGAAGTCAGTTGAAAGCACTTAACTTGCTGTGTTTCAAAAAAGTTGGATATCGATGCAACTATATGATCATTTTTATATACTTCTTTAACAGGATCAAGTGGAAGCACCTGGGGAGCTTCCAAAGAAGGCCAAAATGTTTTTTGCTCTTGCTGCAGACAGATGGGATGCTGATTTTTATGCAAAAGTCAATGACGATGTTTATGTAAATATCAGTTAGTATCGCAATCTATGGAAACCTTTGATCTTTCATGATCCCTACCTTGTGCATCAATGTGAAATTGAAAGAATCGTATGTAGAATTCTCAACTTCTCAAAGTTGAGCACTTTGTTTTATGTCAAGTTGCTTTACTTTGTTACTCGATTTCAAGAACAACCTTAGCTATATTTGTGTGAGGTCGAATTCACAATGATGATCCTATGCAGTTGAAAACCATTTCTAAGATCATAAGCTGACTTAAGTAACAAATACCAGAATATCAACATATCAGAGATTGATCTTTTAAATATGTTGACAGCGGATGTTGAATAATATTAACCAGGGGGCTCACTGCACGTAAATCTGTAGAGTTCATTACCTGCATTCTCTGTAGGATCCTGATTTTGTTCTATCATAGTGAAAGATAAACGAGTTCCGTTACAAGATCTGTTTCATTATTGATAAAAACATTCGATCAGTACACATCTTAACACTATCAACAACTTCATATTTTCCAGATGCCTTGGGAGCTACACTTACATCTCATCTCAACAAAGCCCCTGTTCATATTGGCTGTATGAAATCAGACCAAGTTTTTTCAGAACCGTGAGTTTGGCTTAGATATAGAGTCTACAATTTAGGATATATGAGTTTGATATATAATTGAGTAGCCTCTATCTCTTCTCATGCTTGCGACTCTTGATCTTGGCAGGAGCCATAAATGGTATGAACCGGATTGGTGGAAGTTTGGTGAAAAAAAATCGTAAGTTTTGCTGTCACTGGTTTCATCTTCTAGCCCAATATCTGTTAATATTATTTATCTGTCTACACTATCAAGATCCCCGTTGTCGGTTTAGTTGTAAAAGCACTTCTTACTTATGGACAGAACTTTGAATATTTTCTTATACCGGCTATTTACTTGTTCTGATATTTGTTCTCCTTGTATAGAGTTCTTTTTTCTTAATTTTTTTCCTGGTGTTTGACAGATATTTCCGCCATACTTCCGGTCAAATGTATGTTATATCAGGCGCTTTGGCTAAATTTATCTCGATAAACAGGTCAGGTCCTCCTCGTTGCTGTACGATTTGATGGTGCTTATGATAATAATAAAGCAAGTTGATCCTATTTTGTTTACTGCAGAAATCTTCTTCGCACGTATGCTCATGATGATGTCAGTGCTGGATCGTGGTTTTTAGGGCTTGATGTCAAACATGTAGATGAAGGGAAGTTTTGCTGCTCGTCTTGGTCCACAGGTCTCTCTTTATCTCTCTCGGTCTCTCTTGCACGTGCACACATTTGATGTTATGCATATCGGTACTTTACAGCAAGAACAAGCTATGTTGCCCTAACCCTTTTTCCGACCCATATTTGGACATGGGTATTCTACATATGAACTTCCGAGAACCTTAAATGCATGAAAAAACTTTATACTTACCTAAATTCTAGTAACATAGGATATATCAAGTTGGCTCTTTCTTGGGGTAACTAACATGCATGTTTTCTTTAAATCTGGTTTCAGGAGCTATTTGTTCTGGAGTTTGAATTTATTTACAGATTCCGGAATGCAAATACAAGGTCGATGCTATACAATAGGATGTATTGTATTTCCAAATAACCACAGTCTGCTCTCATTAATTTGATCAAGTGCTCCTGATTGACATGAATCCCTTGGAATTAAGGGGAATTGGAATCCAATTCCATCACTTTCCCATGTTTGGTTCAAGTTTTTCAAGGGAATTGGAATTTCTCATGGCTTCAACTTTCCAAATGAGAGAATGTGAATTTCATCCATTCTATATATTGAATAAAAATATTTGACCATACTACCCTCATCAATCTTTTGGTAACTTATTCATATATTGAATAAAAATATTTTTTTTATTATTTCGGGTCGGGTTTCTAATTCATATATTCGGGTCGGGTCAGGTGAAACTTTATTTTGGTCGGGTCGGGTCGGTTTTTTTAAGTGTGATATTCGGGTCGAGTTCGGAATTAGGGTGAAAAATACTCGTCTCAAAAATATATATAATTTTACCTTATATATTTAGGAATAATTATAATAATACCCCTCTATATATAATTTTTTTCAATTAAGTCATTGTTTTTATTGAATAAAAATAATTTTTTTTATTATTTCGGGTCGGGTCGGATTTCTAATTTATATATTCGGGTCGGGTGAAATTTATTTTGGTCGGGTCGGGTTTTTTTAAGTGTGATATTCGGGTCGGGTTTAGGGTGAAAAATACCCGACCCGACCCAAAAAATATATAATTTTACCTTTTATATTTAGAAATAATTACAATAATACACATATATATATATTTTTCTCAATTAAGTCATTGTTTTTATTGAATAAAAATATTTTTTATTATTTCGGATTGGATCGGGTTTCTAATTCATATATTTGGGTCGGGTCGGTTGAAACTTTATTTTGGTCGGGTCGGATCTCGGATAGAGGTTCCATTGTTCTCGGGTCGGGTCGGGTGGACCAAAAACCTAACCCATGACCATCCCTAATTGAGATGATTTTAACTTATGATATTTATTAGCATGATTTTTATAATTTATTCAAATGAATAATCAATCAATAAAATTAATTTTTTAATTTTTTATAATATATTGTTACATGTAATTTATAAAACAAACTAAAATTAAGAAAAAAAAATACAATCATGTTATTTTACATTACTGAAATCAAATTCATCTGACATGTCTGCGAACCAAACAGAATATGGAATTAGATTCTAATTCCTGACAGATTTCAATTCCTTCATAGATTCCAATTCCCTCACAAATATTCCAACGAACCAAACGCCACCTTAGAATTTAATTAGAGGGCTTCTTGCATGCACAGTTGTTTTGACTGGCCGTCTGATGAACCGTTGAGAATAGAGTTTGAAAATGACACAGTGAAGGTTATACCATAGAGTTAATCATAGTAGCTTTAAGAGGCTTACATGATTCATTTTTCTATTTGTAATTTTATTCTCCAGAACAATGATTTAGGGAACAATGCAAGGCACCCATACATTTAGCACCAAAGAGGTATCCTTTATTAGAGGCAGCAAATATTATAGAATGCCTATTTGTACAATCTGTTTAAAGCGGCAAACACACATGGAAATTAATGGTGTAAATCATTACAGTTTTCATTGACATACAAACTATTTAGTTTACCATATCATACTCATGATGAGCTGTTAAGGAAATGTGCCAATGCCTTGTCTGTGTCATTGTCAGACATGAGTAAGGCTTCAGCCACATTGTTCGATGAAAAGCCCATTTCTCGCAGTAGGTTGTAGCCGGTGACAAATTCCTGAACCTACAAAGCAAATAAACAACATAAAGATGTAGCAAAAAAAAGACATTCTTTAATGAAATTTTGAAAAGGAGAGCTGCATAACCAGAAGCATTGGTGAAACTACTCATGCTAAAGCAATTGAACAAGTTTCTCTCCAATTACAAGACTGCTTATTTTGTCCTTCCACAACGTGAAATAAAGGAACCCAAGTCATTGGTCTCGGAAACTAGTGATTCCTCCTTAAACATTATGGTGCCAAAAGAAAAAGAAAACAGAGTAGCCAAAAAGAAGCTGAGCATGCCAATAAACCAAAATTACTCTCTTCCAGTGAAGAAAATGTAGCTACACAAGATTCTAATCGTTCATGGTGAATATTTATCCCAGTCTTAAGCATAAAGCAGGTGCAAGACCACAACTAGCTATACTAGAAGATTTGGGAGAAATCAAATCTAACATACATCACAAATTATATAATCTTGGAATGCTTCATAATAGACCCAAGTTTTATGCCATGACTACAATTAAGACATACACTAGGTTCTGATGATAAGTGAACTCGTTAGGTTTTCATAATAATTTGATGCAATAACATATGCCATCATACCTTGGTTGGATTGTCACCATAATTTCCAACAGCAACAGTCACCACTTCTCGACTGAATCCAGAGGCAATGTATTTGCTCACCACAGGGTCTGAATTTGCACCCTGCACATTCAAATCGTTGTTCTTTTTCTTCTAAGATAAACCCTTAAAGCTAAACAAATATATTAAAACAACAACGTCAAGACAAACCATCGAACAGACCAGTTAAAATGTTAATGAAAGATATAAAAGGACTAAATCTGTAGCTGGAATAAGAATAACATCGTACCATTGATGAAGTTGTTCCATTCGGCTTCGGAGGAAAGTTTTCCAAGCCAAGCTTGCTCCAATTCATGCTTTCTTTGTCTGCTTCAGCCAAGATTTTCCTCTCAAACTCGAAATCAAACCGGAAATTGCTGCGAGGAATATCCGCAACTTGAGGAGACAGTTGAGGCTGCAACAAAATGACAAATTGAATAGCAGGATTAACTTATTCATTTAATTAAAACATCAAAAGCAAGCAACTGAATGCTTACCGGAGGAGTAATGCGATATTCTGGTTTCAAAGCAACCCTAACACCCAATCCCGCTGCCATGAAACAAAATTAGGGGGAAAGCAAATTTAGAAAAAAAAATGAAAAAATAGTAAAAAAATAGATTTTTTATAGGAAGATACCTTACTGGAAGTGGAAGGAGCGGAAGTCTGGTGGAAGGTTGAGAGCAGCTTCCGTGGAAGACCTTCGACAGTCAAAAAATTTTAAAAATAAAGATAAAATACAATGCATGTATAAATAAAGAAATAAATAAATATATATAGTTGAACAGTCTTCATATGCAGTCTTCATATGCGCGTCAGTAATGGGAAGTTATCCCTGCAAATAAATTCCTGCGTACAAATCTCTGCATATAAACAAAAAACGTAAGTCCCGAATAAATTTAAAAGACGAAACATGAGAAGGATATACAGAAGTCAGTGATTGCAAGCTACGATAAAATAATAATGTCAAATAGGTTAAAACCTAAACTAATGCAACACTACTCCGCTATCCTAGTTTTAATCCTTCAAAAATTCTCATGACATAAACGTATTAAAAGTAGAAGTCAAGGAAATTACTATAAAGGCATTAAAAAGAAGGCAGAGATGTTACACCCTATGGTTGTGACCCACACTACTCTGCTACCCTGGTCTTAAGTCTCCATACTTTCCTATCAGAGGTCATGTCCTCGGTAAGAGCTAAATCCTTCAAATCAGATCTCAAGCAGTCTACCCACTTCCTCCTTGGTCGTCCTCTCCTTCTGGCACCGTCGACTATAATCGACTCTACCCTCCTGACCGCATCCGACTGTTGTCTCCTAAGGACATGCCCAAACCACCGTAGTCTTCCCTCCCTCAATTTTTCAGATACAGGCATCACCCCCAAGGACATCCTAATTGCAGAGTTTGGAGTCATTTCCCACATAGTCTTACCACATGTCCATCGAAGCATTCTCATTTCTACGGCCTCCATCCTCCTTACGTGATCCTTCTTGATTGCCCAACATTCTGATCTATACATCAGCGCTAGTCTTATTGCAACTCTATAAAATTTTCCCTTAAGTTTTAAAGGCACCTTCTTGTCACACAAAACTCCTGTAGCTGCCCTCCACTTTAGCCATCCCGTCTTTATACGGTGCGTTACATCATCATCTACACCCCCATCTTTATGTATCATAGACCCTAGATACTTGAAACAATCCTTAGAGGGGAGAACGTGCCATTCGATGCATACGTCTACATCTTCATCGTTTTGGTTCCCACTGAAGTTTGAACATAAATACTCTGTCTTTTCAATATTGATCCTTAGACCTTTTTCTTCCAAAGCTTTCTTCCAGTTTTCCAGTCTACTATGCAACTCAGTTTTTGTTTCAGCAACTAGGACAATGTCGTCAGCGAAAAGCATACACCATGGAATACCGTCTGGTGTCGCACAATAGATGTCGTCCATAATCAAGGCAAAGATGTAAGGGCTAAGAGCCGACTCCTGATGGAGTCCGATTTCTACTGGGAAAGCCTCTGTGTCCCCAACTATAGTCCTGACATATGTAGTAGATCGACAGTACATATCACGAATCGCCCGAATATAAGCAGTTGTGATCCGTCTCGTTTCCAAGGTCTTCCAGATCGTATTGCGGGAAACGTTATCATACGCCTTCTCAAGGTCAATGAACGCCATGTGAAGATCTCTATTTTTCCCTATATTTCTCCATAAGCCGTCGAAGTAGATGAATCACCTCCGTAGTAGACCTACGTGGCATAAAGCCAAATTGGTTTTCCGAAACCGTAGTAACCTGTCTCAACCTAGCCTCTATCACCCTTTCCCATAGCTTCATGGTATGACTGAGTAGTTTAATACCTCTATAATTACCACAACGTTATATTTTTTTATCAATACTTATACATTTATCAATTTATTCCTAATCTTAATTTAATTAATAAATTAAATCCTTCATCAGATTTTGACATGTGTCACAACATAAATTATATTGTTGTTATTTTTATTAATTTCCTATCCAATCAGATGGTGACACGCGTCACCATCTAATTTAGTGGAAAATAAAATAATTAAAATTAAGAAAATACCCTCCAGTTATGTTGTGGCACGTTCCAAACTCTGATTATAGGATTAAATTTATTAATTAAATTAAACTTAAGACCAAATTAATAAAATGTACAAGTGTTGAGGATCAAGTATATAATTATATTAGTTTTATTAACTATCATGTCATCACTTCCATTGAATATTAAGCTAATGTGATTATAAATGATATTTGTTCTAAATATGCTCTCAATCATTTAATAACGAACATTCAATCATATACTGTAATTGTTGAAGCTCGAACTCATGATCTCTAAAAATAATAATTCCTTTAACCATTGAGATAAATTGATTTGCGTATAATAAGTAACTATGTTCATGAAACGATGTTCATCTTAATTTTCTCATACTAATTAAATTTGATGATTATATTAATTGATATGCTCACCGACCATTATTACATCAAAGAAAACTCATTCATCAATAGTGTTTTTATTTCATTGCATAATGATCAAGCTATTTATCGTAATTCTTTTATACTTTTTTTAATCATAGCTTCTAAATTTACTATGAGTGTTCTTATTTTCTCTCTTATAGTTTTTGTTAGATAAAATTAGAATTATATTTAAAATTTATAAATAAAAAAGATTTTAAAAATACGACTGAATAATTTTACACTTTTAATTATATGCTTTAGAAATTATTGAAAGTCGTTCTAGTTTACTTAAATTATATCAAATACAAATAAAAGTTATTTTCACTATAATTTATTGATTATTTTTATTTTTACCCTATAATTAGATAGACAATTGCATAAATATAATAAAAGAACTATAATGAAATACTCCCCGTAGGAAGAAGCCAATTATGGGACCCACAAAAGAATAACGCTCGAAAGAGGCCGGCCCACCCATTTATAAAATACCGCCACCACACTCGATCATAAATTCGCCCATCTTTTTTCGCCATTTCTTCTTCATTTCCCATTCCTTCACGCTAAAACCTTTGCTCTCTTACCCACCCAAAGTTCATTCAGGCATTCAACCGCCGCCTCCTCTGAAGGAGGATCATCTTTTCAGGTTCGATATCTGAGATTTATCGCTTTGATTTGTTCATTTATTTTTCTCGTTTTTTTATCCATGCCTATGGATCGTAGGTTTCGCGATGGCATCAAAGCGGATCTTGAAGGAATTGAAGGATTTACAGAAGGATCCTCCTACATCTTGCAGCGCTGGTATAACCTTCACCACTTCTCTGTTTTTATTAACATTTTTCCAAATATTGATGGATTTTGTCACTGTATTGCTGCGAGATGACAGATTTATCGGTATACATGTTTTGAATATAATTGAGGATTATAAAAATTGTTGATGTAATTATCAATGATTTTCTGATGGAAAGGTTGTTGAAACGATAGTAACATTTATTTGTGATTATTCATAAATGATTGCAATTTTCGTTTAATGTTTTGCATCATAATCGTGTTGATTTTGAAAAAAACTAAACTCCTATCACCGAAAAGGGCAAATCTAGTTGAAAAAGTTTGAGATCATACCATAAAAATGAATCGTTTTATGAATTAATTTTGTGTCGAACTGGAAGTAGTCCTCTCAGTTTTCATATTCGGTCACGGATTATTTATCGTGTCTAAACTATATAGGTTCTGTGAGACACCTGTATATGTGTATTTTGTCTTGTCATGTTTTAAGTTGATGTTGACAAAGGTATTTGACATATTTGATGCATTTATAAATTGGTGATAATGACTGCGCTTTCATCATGTGATAGCATCATCAGTTGAAGTGTTTTGATTTGTTTACAATGACTCCAAAGACTGATTAGTAGAATGGAAGGAATATGTATTTTTATTTTTTTTTGCGATGGATGTTATTGTTTGCCTTTTCAACTTATAATAAGAGGCAGTAAAATGAAGGGTGATATTCATTATTATGCCAGCTGATGCTCAAACCGCATCTGTATATGATATGTCAAACACAGTTGTGATAGGGTGAAGTAGGAAGTAGATCCTTAATTTGTTGTAATCCCTTTCTGTTATATAGTTTATGACCATAGTTGATAGCAAGTGTCTTATGCAACATCAAGTTGGATTGGTTTGCCTAGCCTGGGTTTGTTGTCTAGTTGATTGGGCCTACCCTTCCTAGGGAGTAGGGATACCTTGATTGTCAAGTTGATTGATATTCTCTGGCTTCTCTAAGTTAAGGATATCAATATTTCATAAAATATCTATATTTTTTTTTCTAATGTTGTTTTCACTCACGTTTTTCTTCTGTTGGTTGTGTATGTTCAAGCGCTCAACGAGTATTACTGACCTACATTACTTGCATATTGCTAATAGTTCATTGGACAATATTGCAGGTCCTGTTGCCGAAGACATGTTTCACTGGCAAGCAACAATCATGGGTCCACCGGACAGTCCTTATGCTGGGGGTGTTTTCCTGGTGACCATTCATTTTCCTCCAGATTATCCCTTTAAACCTCCCAAGGTACTTTTAATGTGTGGTTTTTCTTTACCATAGTGGTAGGATATTTACTTGTGACATTTGCAAAATTGCAAGTGCATGGATGCTATATCAGTCACTTTTATTCTATGTTGAAGGCTACCTATATAATCCAGGTGCAATGTTACATTATTTGAAATATCCTTCCCTACCTTGCTGCTCTAGCGTCTCCATTCTGTCAAATTTCCAAGAAATTAAGGATCGTTCTTTTAGTAGATAATTTTTGTTTTTTACTTGTTAATGGTGTGATATATGCCCCTGGAGAGTGAGAGATGCTTGCCTTCATTACCACGTTACGTTACTCGGAATGCTTCTTGCTTTTAAAGCGCTGGTTCAAATGAAAACTGGAATACTATCAATTGGATTATTATCATAAAAGCTTGAAATGGCTGAAAATAAATGAAAATGAAAATAGATGTTCTTCATGCTGACTGTAAGAATTTAAGTTTCTTAACACAAAATTATTAAAGCTAGAAGAGATCTAAAGTATGTAATGCTTCCTTCTCTCTAATTTTTTCCATATGATAATGGCTTTTGCAGGTGGCATTTAGAACAAAGGTATTCCATCCCAATGTCAATAGCAATGGGAGCATTTGCCTAGACATCTTGAAGGAACAGTGGAGTCCTGCGCTGACAATATCCAAGGTGAGAGTGTCCTCTAAATATCTAGATACTCCTATCCGAAACTCCTCTCATATATTTGGCATTAAGGGTGGCAAAAATTGTTCCAACTGGAATGAGCCACCACCCGTGGCGGCCAAAACAAATCATATCAGAAGGTCCCCAACCCTGCAATCTGATCATCCAAAAAATATGAATCACAATGGCAAACCCGATGAGAGATGGCCATCTTAACAAAGCAAAAGTGATAGAATCTGATTCAATACTCAAAATGGTAGTATCGGATTTGTTTGCTTCATCGTTTTATCATGTTGTTGTAGGTGTTGCTATCAATCTGTTCTTTGCTGACGGATCCAAACCCCGATGATCCATTGGTGCCTGAGATTGCTCACATGTACAAGACGGATAGGAACAAGTACGAGACAACTGCAAGGAGCTGGACCCAGAAGTACGCCATGGGCTAAAGAGCTTTGTCGTGTGTAATGGGAAACCCCATGTGTCTTTTTTCTTAATATATTTTTTTCATATATTCTGGTTTTTTAAAGGAAATGTCGATGCAATTATGCATGAATGTTTGTTATGTCACTTGAAACATAAAGTGAACGTGAAGGATTCAACGTTAGATAAATGTAACTTTGGAACCGATAAACTGTGTCCTAAATCTGAAAATGACAATTCTCCCATATCATATTGGTGGAACTTTATAACCTGTAATTTGGGTCAATGTCTAATTACTTTATTTAATATTATCCATACATTTATATGTTATATAAATTCTAATTAATTATATATATTAAAAAAGTGCATGCTCTCTTTTAATTTAATTTTAAAAACAAAACTTAAAAACAAGTTTTTGTTTTATATTTTGAGTGTTTATGTAATATATTTGATTGAATTAATATTATTTTACTCAGTAACGTCAATTAGTCAAAGTCATTCAATATTTTATTCTTAATTTTTGTTGATATAATAGATATGAACCTGAATAGCTAATTTTTGTTCTACATACTCTGGGGAAAAAATGAAATTACTAATGTAACAACACCTGAAAAATGAAATAAACTTGAACCAACTCGAGTAGAAAAAAAATTATTAGGATTTAGTTGAAATAATAATTCATCCGAGATCTATTTGATTATAATTAAATCGATTAGATCAATTTGTTATATAAGCAGAAAAAATTGGGGGAGACTGGCTATACCAACCAAATTTGTCGAAGTACATGCAATGAAACAGATCTTTCATGGCAACAACAAAGCTTACAATCATTAGGGGAAGAACCCATTGTTGTCAAATTTGAAGTTTTGATCAAACTGGGAATTACCGAATGGGAAATCCAAGCCAACTGCTGGCGAGCTCGTCGCCGAAGTAGCAGCAGCTTGAACAATATTATACTCATCAGTAACCCAAGTCTGATCATCACGGGCTTGAAAGCTAAAGTTGGTCCTCGATGCCACTGGCGATACGGTATTAGACTGCAAATGGTTTTGGACAGCATCATTTACAGCTAAAAAAGGTGATGAAAAGACAACGTTGGACGTTGACGAAGTGTAGGGGAATGAATGCCATGCTTGGTGACGATGATGATGAATGTTATCTAAATCTTGGGTTTTAACTTTGACGTCGTTTTGGAAGCTAAGAAACAGATCCTGTGATGATTGTTTCTGGATATGGTGCAATGATCCTTGTTCTTGATTTCCATCAGAGGGCCCTGAGGGAGAATTTAGATTTGAAGCTACGTTGGTACAAGTGTGGACCCCGATGTATGTAATCTCAAAGATTGTCGGGTCATCCCCCGATCTTTGTTCTTGCTTCGTTGCCAAACAACCTCGAACGCTTCGATGTGTGCATCTGTAGTAGCCTCTGCAGTCAAGAAACTATGCTTAAATACATATATCGTATAATGTAAATATCGTATAATTAAACCGATCCAATTGATTTAAGTCCAATTTATGAGTATTGGTTTCTAATTAGTTTACAAACCTTGGATATTTGGAGCCGAGAATATCTTTCTGTCCATACTTCTTCCAACTGAAACCATAATCAAGAGGTCCCTCCACTGCCATCCCAGGCGTTACTCGAACTTTTTGTATCCATCTTGGTTGACTGCTATTCCTGCAACACAAAAATATCAGTATGTATCTAATCAAAATCAACAAATTATCGATTAAATAACAATATAAATAAAATTCGATTTCAAGTCAACACTATACATGTACCTTTTCTTGGAGGCATCTTTGAGCTCCGGTTCCCCGAAACAACGATCGGAGTCTTCACTCTGGAGATATCCACACTCCGACATTCTGGTCGTTCCTTCCGGTGCTTCTTGTGCCATTATAAACGACGTGTTAACATTGCAGTTCACCATCGAGAGTGCTTTCTGATAAGAAGCATCAATCTTTTGAACTAAAAGTTGATTCGTTTCATCATCAGAAGAAGGCGCATTGAGATGAGCCTGGAGTTGCCTCGCTAGCTCTCGTCCCCGAGTTAACTCATTTATCAGGTTCATTCGCTCCCATTCTCCCATATTCTCCATTAATGAACCAGACCCAGATTTCTTTCTTCCTACTCTATTAGTTCATGCTATACAAATGTTACATTATACGTATGCGTGTGTATATAAAGAGGGTGGTCATAGATTATGAGAGAAGGATATTGGTTCTGGGTTTTTAAACGTAAGTTTGACTGTATATAGAATCATGGAGACTGGTCTTCGGTCATAGATAACGTGGGGTTCAAATGAAGGAAAGTTCAACTGTTGACCCTTTCCTTCTTTGCAATATTTAGCTTTTAAACGTAATGAAACTTACGGTTTCGGTCTTTAATCGTTGATGGGGTTGGTTTGAAAGATTCTTGGCATCCAAACGCAAAATATAAGTAAATAAATAAACCAATTTGGAAGTCATATGTTTTTGGTTTGGTCACTCAACTTCAAAAAATTTATATTTCATCACTAAAATTTTTCAAATTATTTTATTCTCATTCCAACAATACTTTTTGGATTAATACTAAAATAAGTGTCCAAACTATACCGCTTTTTTCAAATAGGTGTCTAAACTATTTTTTGACTTATTTCGGTGTCTAACGTTAAAAACGTTACAATTTTAGGTGCCTAAGTCGTCAACAACATTACTTTTCTTAATTTTGTCTAAGTGACACTTATCACAATCTAGTGCTTTTGAAATTTATTTTTCTATAAAAATATTATTATATTTATAAAAAAAACTCTAATTTCTCTTAAATTATAAAAAAAAACTCAAAATTCTTAAAATCATCAAATCCTAAACTTAATTCACCGTCGTCATTTCCCACTACAACCATTACCGTCGACATAGTCTCTGTCATCTTGTCGTCACCTTTTCCGTCCATGACCACCACCGTCGATATGGTCTATGTCATCCTCCTAGTCATACGACGTCATAGTTGCCGCCACTTAGTTGTCGAAATCATGATTTTTATCCTAGAATTCATAAAGTATAAAACGTCGCTTCGTCATTGATCGATCACGATTTTATAAGGTTTTTGTTCATTGGATGAGTTGAGGTCGATAAAACTTCGTCGATGGTAAAAAGCAATGTCCGGTGTGAATTTAAGGATTAAAATGAAGGTTTTCAAAATTCTAAAGTTATTTAAAAATTTGTATATTCTTTTTAGAAAATATATAATTTTAAATTTTAAATAAAATTTTCAAAATTATTATATTATGACATGTGCCACTTAACGAAAAAATTTATACTATTAACGACTCAAACACTTAAAATGATAACTATTGTTATGTTAAACATTAGAATGAGTAAAAAATAAGTTAGACATCTATTTAAAAAATAGAGTTTAAACACTTAATTTGATATTAATACTTTTTTTTCTTTTTCAAAATCACCAAATAAACTTCAATTTTATTTAGAATGCATGGGCATGGGACCGAAATCGATAGATTTCGAGTCGATCCGATCTGATCGAATCGTGGTTTTTTAAAAAAAATAGGAGTCAAATTGGATCAAATTTTTTAAGGTGTTGTTCGGGTCGGATTGAATTCAGATTTAGTATGAAAAATATCCAATCCGATCCGACAAAAAAAAATAATTTTACCTTATATATTTAGAAATAATTACAATAATATCTCTATATATAATATTTTTTTAATAAAAATAATATTTTTATTATTTAAGATTGAGTTAGAACAAATTTGGATTTTATCTCAAAAAATCAATTTTGATTCAGGTCAAGTTGAAGGTATATATTTTTCGAATCGAGTCAAATGAAAAATATAAAATTTTTGGAACGATTCGTATTGGCCGAACCCTACCATACCCATCCCTAAGGTACACGAATTAGAAGTCGTTCAGCGACCATTGCGTTCCCAATCACGGTACAGAGTGGGCTCCCGGCCTTTAAGCCCGCCAACCTCTCCCGTCTCTTTGTTAACGTGATCTTCTTCATCTCCACATTCAGCTTCTTCTTCTTTAATCTTAGGTTCAAGATTCCCTTTCACAGCCTCCCGATCTTCGTCGTCGGCCTTTTTTCCATGTTTAAACTGATATTGTTGAGCGGAGGCGCATACGAAGCGAGTCACTGATTCCGATATGAAACTAGCGGAAGAAAGTTTGACGATAGACTGCTCCGATAGCGACGAGAACAGACGGCTCAGGCCGGATTTCACCATTCTCAGCTCTTTACGAAGCGTACGAACGGTAACCTGTAGCGGTTTTATTCCCTGAGAATGAAGGGATTAAAAGAAAAGTGTTGGTTGGGACTTGGAAACACCAGCACGGCGTCGTGTTGGAACGTGACGCTGCAGCCACGTTTTGATGCTAAAATGTTGTAACGTGTTTACTTTAGAATGTGGGCTCAGGCTCAAAAGGACAGATTGCAATTCAGTCCAAATCAAATCCAAAGAGTATAAACTGTGTGGCATTCCTAAACACGTTGAAGATCGGCCCGTGAATTTGTTGGGCTCTAAGGTCAGTTAGGGTGCTTATATCTACGGCAAAATTGACGTAATAGGACAAATAGAAAAAATTAGTCCATTAGGTTCTCTAAAATTAATTTGGAATATAAGGTATTTATTACCGTGACTTTAAACTCGTCACATGGGCTAATTTTTTTACACGCTTGGTTTATTGGGCCAATTTTGCCTATATCTACATTAATATTATCTGCATCGAGAAAATGCACGAGAACATGGACAGACGCAGGAATTTATGTTATAGGGTGCAAACTTAAGTAATTATATTAAAAATTTAGATAACGTAAAATTATAAAATTTCTGATGTGTGAAACTATATAATCAATAGAAAATATAAAGAAATATAATGGAATTAATTTTTTTTAGGGATGCAATCGCACCCCAACATCGCCCTCAGTCCATCCCAGTACGGGAAGAAACAAAGAACTATACATGAACTTATTATTGTTAGGGATGAATAAAACTCGACTCGATTTAAAAATTTATTTTTTTTCTATTTGAGTCTCGAGTAAAGAGATAATGCATTTCTTTTAGAGTAAAGTAAAGGTTAAAGGAATCGTAAAAATCAAATTTTAAATAAATTTAAATTAATAATATTTTTTTAGTGGTTTATGATTTAAAATGGTTTTATCAAAATAAAATTAAAACATAAAATATGAAGAATCAAATCAATTTAAATTACGAACGGTTAAAAAATGTAATAGAATTCAATCAAACCAAACCAAGGACAAGACAGTAATACGAGTAAATCTCAAGCGTTAATCCTGTCAGATCGACAAAATTATCCGAAGCCTACTTCAAGTCTGTAATGAACTTGAATTATATATATGTTTTTGAAAAACAAAGCCCATTAAAACAAAAAGGCACACGCTATAGTTTCTTCTCTTCTTCAAAATCACATGATCTTTTGTCGTTTCTCCTAAAAACTCCCCCATCTTCCTCCGTGAAAATCAAATCCCTAGTTCTTTCACCCTACCCTCCCTCGTAATTTCTCCCCGTTATCGATCTCATTATCTTAACCGCCTTCCGCCTCCACTCACCTCTAATCTTCGCCGTGAGATGTCCCGCCGCCTTCACTCCTATTCCGCGCAATTAAGGTTTCCACCGTCATTTTTGTCGGGTTTTTTTTTTCAAGAATCGACATTATATACCGTGAAAGATTCGATTTTAGGGTTTTCATATTGAATGTTGATTTGAGATTGGTGTTTCGTTTTTTATTCGGAGGGTTTAAAATTTTTCTGGTTAGGATTTTTTTTTAATATTGAGTTCTCGTAGTTGTGCTCCGATGATGCCGCGTAGTTCAAGGCACAAATCTAACAAGCATAGTTCTAGGGATGCTAGGGACTACTCGGATTCGGATAGAGATACGTGCTTAAAGGAGAAGGAAAAAAAGACTAAGGAGGAGAGCAAACCTGGATCCGGTGATAAGAGAAAGCTCGACTCCAAGGACACTTGGTTTTCGGGGAATGGAGATTACGCGGAGGAGTATAGTTCCTTAAAACGCCGCAATGAAAAAGTGGATGTTGGAGCAAGCGACAGGTGGAATGACGGTGAAGACGATGATAAAGGAGAGAAGAAGTCTAGGGGTTCAAGTGAATCCAAGAGTAAGAAACAAGAGGATGCCGAAGGAGATGATACAAAGAGGATTAGAAGTGAGGGGAAATATAGAGAATCGAGTAGAAAGGAGGAAAGGGAAAAAGAAAAGAAAGGTAAAGAAGGAAAGAGTGATAGGCCGATTGAGGCTGATGAAAACCGCCCTGTGAAGCGATCCGCTGAAAGAACTGGTAAGATAACTTACTATCTGTTGGTTCTCTTTTGTTGTTGTTTAGTGTCAATTTAGCATGTGCAACTCTGCACTTTTAACTATTTTGGTGCTCTTTTGTTGTTGTTAAGCAGTGTATGTTTAGATTGATTGTTATATTATTTTTCCCAATTCTGTTTACTAGTTGTTTTATTTGGTTTTAGGAGTTAACACATTCTGCATTGAATAAGGGCGATTTTATGGATTGCAGAACCTTTGTAACTTGCTATATAAGTTTGTCGAGTAGGGATGCTATCTATTGTTACAAACTTTTTAAGCTTGCCTTTTGAGTTGGACTTTACTAAAGGATATTCAGAACCTTCTGCATTTGTAATTAATGACTAGTCAATCTTAATTTATGTCTCATAAATACATCCACGTTTAAGTGTGTATGTAATATATTTAGACTCAGAAAGCTTTTTAAGTTGATTGAGGAAGTTAAAATTCAAAACCAAATAATTTAAGTGCCATCAGTTATCTGATTTAAGAAGTCTTATTTGCTGCAAGAGACAAAGAGGAAAAGTAGATGTTCTGTTTGCAGGATGAGAGTCTGGGTTGAGGAATTTATAGAGTAGGTGACAGTTGAAATTAAAGGGAGAATATAGTTTCTACGGATTAGTTTTTATGGTATTGGAAAGGTGTGTATTTTGTATTGTTTTATGGCCTTCTGAGCGCAGATACAAATCAACTAATATCTGACCTTAAAACTTGGTGTATTACTCTTTCTGCATTGCAATGCACCCTGTGTCTGAGTTCCTAGAGCAATGGTAAATGGACCTGGATTAGGTTGCTTTTTTTTCCTTTCAGTTTTTTAACTTCAGTGTTGACTTGAAATTGTCGGTTAGCCTTCCCCAGTTAATATTCCTTTTGGTTGGTTTCCTTTTTCTTGGTATTGGTTTGAAAGGAATCAAAATTTGAAAATTTCAGTTGTCTCCAATATGTAGTTTTCTATCAGCTTCAAAGAGTTGTTTGAAAAGTACTTTCCCATTCATGGTTCCCTGTTTTGGATACAGATATAATTTTCATGTAAATTTAGAAGAGAATCTGCTGGGTTAAGCTTGAAATTGCCACACTTCGTGTATACACTTAGAAGTGCTTTCATATGCGTTTTTCTAAGTATATGACATCAATTTCCCAGATTCTGTTTTATCAGTGCGATGAGCTGGTCTTTAGTTAAGGCCTCATATAAAATGGTTGAGCTACTTTGGCTCAAATATATTAGTGCTATGTCCAGATGCATCGGGATTTTGGCACTCATCTTATTTCTGATTTTATACAGGTTTGAAGTTATCGTTAGCTTTAGGAGAATATATAATTTTACTTGTATGCTTTTAGAAATCTAATATTAGGTTTGTGTTCTTTAAGTTCTCTATTTGGTTTTAGATTTCCTGTTTTGCTTTGGATTGCTTTACGTCTTATATGCCATTGCTCAGCTTGGTATATTATTACGTGCACTTTCTATAGGCTCTTGTCTTCTGCTCACAAAATAAAATGAATATATGTATGACCATTACCAAATCAGGATTGTCAGAGGAGATTTTGTAACATATGTTGAAATCAAAATTTAACTTCTGAGGGGTTTACCCCCTTATAAATAGGCTCTTAAATATTTTTGGTAACATAAGTTCTTTTTAGATTTGGATGTACCAGATCGGTTGCGAAGTCCTGAATCAGAGAGCCAGCTTGAGAGACGATTTAGGAAAAGGAGAGATGCTTCTGGTGACGGGGATAAGCGTCTGGAAGATAATGGAGATAACTTGGACAAGCAGTTGTCTTTGAACAATGATAGTGACAAAGATGGCAGAGCAAAAGATGAGAAGCATAAGGATGAAAGATACAAGGACAAGTATCAAGAGGTCATGGACTATGAAGACAAGTGGCAAGATGATAAATTGAAAGATGATCGACCAGCAAGTGATCACGCTAATTGTAAGTCTAGTGAGAAGCTTTTAAGGGATGGAAAAGATGATGTGAAAGTTCGACAGAAGAAGTCCAAGGCTCAAGATAGTGACTTTGATAGAGACCATGACTGTGATCATTATAGGGAGCGGGAGCGCGATCGAAGGCGTGAACGTTATCGTGATCTTGATCGTGACTATTATCGAGAACGTGACCACAGCCGTGATCATGATCGTGATTATGATTCCCCATTGGATCGTGACCGAGATCTTGATCGAGAACGTGAACGTGATCGCCGTTATAGTGATCGGGACAACGATAGAGATCTTGACCGTGATGAGTTACATGATGAACGGAGGAGTGCTAGATACAAAGATAGTAAGGGAAGGAAGCGATCTCCTGATGATCGAGATGCCGGTAATGATACAAAATATAGGGGTGCCAGAGTACACTATTCTGACATAGAAAATAAATCGACTTCTGGTAGAGTTGAGGTAGATGCTGATAGGGGAAGGTCTCAGTCACGCCCAGCCAATTTAGATGCAGTTATGGGTAGCAACAGAAGGAGGGCTTCTCCCAGCTCAAGGTCCCATGGTGGGACTGATGAGTATAGGTAATTTGTTTCTTTATCACACGCTCTTCAGGATTGATTCCTTATTCTATGATTCAAATGGTAAACTGACTAAATAATACAGGCATTGATCTGTTAATTTCTATTAGATTCTCTGATTATTGTTTGACAAGTTAAACTGTTTGTATTTTCCTCATTGTCCGAGTATAATATAATTATTATCTCTTACAGACATTTGAAACAAGACAATTTGAATTGTAGAGATCTGATGACAGAGCAGAGGTCCAAAGCAGCTTCATCAAGAGAGGTAACTAGTTTTTCTGAAACATCTGAGAGGGGTGCCAAGTACAGATCCACAGAGAAATCAAGTAGGGTGGAAGAGGGCCATTCTGGGGAGTTCGAGAGGTCCTCAAGTTTAAAAGCTTCCCCAATGAGTATGATGGAAAAATCCCCTTCAACAAGTCTCGAGTGTAGATATACGAGTAGAAGTGGTGTTAGGCGGGGTCTTGATATAGAGGAGACAGGATGGAGCAATGCCTCCATTGGTGGCAGAGAAGAGGATAATAGACTTACTCGAGACTTGCCTCCTGAGAAGCCTCTTTTGGATGGATCCTCTCAGTCAGATTTTGTGTTTTATAATAGAGCTGGTCAGGGCAACTCGTCTCTGAATTCTCATCCACCTGGTTTAAGATCTGGAGTTGTTAGTCCTTTCATGGGTTCTCTAGAAGAAGATATTAGATTTAGTAATAGTGGCCGTTACAAGAGGGGTGATCTGAATGTTAGGAGAGGCCATGCAAATGCTTGGAGGGGTGCCCCAAACTGGCCACCACCTGTTCCAAATAGTTTCATCCCATTCCAACCTGGGCCACCCCATGGTGGTTTTCAAATGATGCCACAGTTTCCTTCCCCATCTCTGTTTAATGTTAGACCCTCAATGGATGTTAATCACTCTGGAATTCCATATCATATACCTGATTCAGAAAGGTTTAACAATCATATGCGTCCAATGGGATGGCAGAACACGATGGATGGTTCTGCTCCTGCCCATTTTCATGGTTGGGATGGTCACAATGTTACTTATAGGGAAGAAGGGCACATTTTCGGGGGTCTTGAATGGGACCAGAATAGGCATCCAGTGAATGGTCGCGGATGGGACACCAATTCAGATGTGTGGAAAGGACAAAATGCTGATTTTGACTTGGCCTCAACATCTCAGAAAGAGGACCATCCTCTGAGGACCCCTCTTGATGATGTTTATGATGGACAGGAATGTCAGAGGTCTCAATATGAGAATGGCGGTAACAGTGTTCAGGTGAAAGATCTTGAAATAAGACCTGCCGTCATGTCACCAGTTAAAGAATCTTTTAGTATTTCACCTGAGATTCCACACAAGGCACCTGATTCTTCAAAAATATCAAGTGAAGATGTTGATGCTCGCTATTGTCAGGTTTATCTTTCTAAGATTGACATTTCAGAAGAATTAGCTGGTCCTGATTTATATGACCAATGCATGGGTATTTTGAGTGTGGAGCAGAGTAAAGATTTTGATAAAGATGTAAAAATGCTTGTGAATTTGAAGGTAGATAACTATTTTCAACATAATTCTCTCTCTGCATCTAATGTAGCTGATCTTTTACTGATAATATCCTTTAAATTTTTTCAGAATGGTGCACGTCCAGTGCAAAAGGCTTCCATTGCTGTGCTTAGCCCTTCACTCATTCCTGCAACTAATGCTGCTGTTTTTCAGGTACTTAGTGAAGCTCATAACTGTATTGCTGCTTTGCTTTGGTGGGAGGACTGATAAATTGTATTTTTTTTCTTTTAGAAGCTTCTGATTCTAAAATAATGTTGTGTTTAAAATTTGTTTTCTGACTTGCAGAAAGCCATGGACATTTACAAGAAACGCAGTTTACAAGTGGGTGTCATCCCAAATGTAAATGGTGGAACTTTAGCATTTACTTCTGCGTCCAAGGAGAAGGGGAAGGAGCAAAGCTCTGATCATGTTGTTGATGGAGCAGAGGAGCCAGTTTTGATGCCTGATGCAGAAATAGTGGATTCAGCTATGGAAGATTCAGATCAGCAGAAAGGGAAATCTGTTCCGGCCACTACTTTTTACGAGAATATGGAACAGCTAGCTTCAATTCAAAGGAGTGAGTTACCGAATCATCCGGATAGCTACAATCTTGGGAAATCAGACCAACCAAATACTGATTTTGTCCACATGAATGCTGAGGTGCCTGAACCAGTTTTGAATGGCAATAAAGCAGAAGAGACAGAGACTGAGCAGCAAATGAATTCACTTGATAATGCACCAGAGGCTGTATACTGCGCCGAGGAAAGACATAGTGTTGGTAGAGCAGTTAGTTGTCCTTTAAATGATTCTCCCAAGGAATCAGAGAGTCAAATTCCTGGGTCGAATGAGTCTGGGTCTGAGTCCGTAATTTTAAGTCGGATACATCATTCTCCTGAAAATACACATTGAGGCCATTTCTATATCATTCTTCTTCTATTTTGTGCCTTTCTTATTTTTGCTTTTGCTGTCTTTGTTGCCTATCCTTATAAAGCAAATAAAATGAGGAATGCCATCTGGTTTCCTGGATTAGGCACATCCTTGAATCTTGATCCTTAATCTGTCAGCATGATCTACTCTGATGCATTTAAATCTTTTTGTATTTGTCGTCTACATCGTGAAAGGGTACGTGTATGACAAAAAGGGGAAAGAAGCAAAAGAGAGTGTGCATTTCCTCTTCATGGGAAAAAAATGCAAACTTGGGTTTGTATATAATGGACTGATTTGCATTATGGAGAAAAATTGGGTATGAATTTTCCACAATTCGGAGCTTTATACAGACATGGGACTTCGAAATCATCTGGTTCGAACAAGTAATCATACCTGCCAATGCCAATCATAAACCAAGCATTGGATTGAATTTGTATACTCTAAGGAAACTCTGGAATTGGTTTTGGTTGCTGATCGATGGTGGCCTTGGCACATGGCCATCGAAGTCGTGAATTGAGAAATCTCCCAGCGTTTTGATACTGCTGTTGATTTTGTTGCTTAATGTCATTTCGTACAACTAATAGAGGAACTTGTATATTAGTTCGTACAAGCTCAATGATTGAATGCAATGGCTCTTTCGATCGCCGGTCATTGATACTAGATTCGATCGTGAACCAGAACTGGGGGACGTTGATGACTTTATCAATCTATGCCGAACTCAAACATATTTGTATCTAACCCTCTGAATCGAAACAAGGACTATATGTATTCTTCAATGTCAACTTTAACTACAAATGATCCATGATTATTGCACACACATATATGCCTAACATGTCCTATTTCTACTTTGCCATATATTTGAACAGGCAATATACTATGTACATTCCGAATTTAACCAACTAATTATCCTACCTTAATATATGCCTTACTGATCCTAGCTACTTCATTCCTGCTTCGCTAGGTAATTTCATTCGAGTCATCCAACAGTCATTGTCTCTTGCAGTTGTCAGATTCTTCAGTCCTTGCAAACCTCCCACGAATCCTTGGTTGACTGTCGGCAAGAGCCTTCCGGCAAGCATACTGGCAAAAGGAAACCATATCATGAGTTCGGGTGCAGGGAAATGACAAAAGGTTACAAGTAGAATATCATGATGAGTCGTGAGTAAATAATGGAACTGAATATGTGCTCTTTTTTACCTTGATTTTCCTTCCAAAGTTCCTCTTTGTCTTCTTATTCCTGTATCTCGAGAGCTTTTCTCTTCGATCTTCTGTAGAACAGCTACTGAATATCAACGGCCGCTCGACCAGAGAATGGACGACACTCACATTACCATTGCCAAGAGCCTGTCATAAAAACGCAGTATCATCAATGACCCACCCCATCCTGTGGAAATGGCCACAAACATCTAAAACTTCCTAAGTTGCTACATATTGTTACAAGGACAATACATGCTCGGTGGTCGATTGAATGACAACTAGATCATCTTAACGACCTAAAGTTCGGTGCATCGACAGAATAAATCAAGCCTAGAATCGGATTACTTTTAATAAAAGGAATGGTATTTCACACAAACACCAACAGGAAAGCAAACCTTTATATCTCCTTCACTGAATGCTCTCCTCATCCCGTAAACAGAATCGAAATCAATTCCCGGGAAATTGAGAAAATTCGACTCGATAGCAGCCCCCTGCATCCATTCCATAGAGCTTAAACAACTTGAGCTGACACTTTTCAAGAATTGTACATCGCAGAGCATTTCGTTTTCATCTGTTTTAACGACAGGAACCTTGATGTCAAGGACCTCTACCAGAGGTGTTTCGATCACAGCTTGTGCTATCAGATCCTTCTCGCACTCGTATAGAACCTCCAAAAGTTGCTCGTTCTGAAACGATTCGATATCGGCAGCCTTAAGTTCTTGTGAAGTAATGACGTCTTCACTGCACGAGATTAACGGCATGGCAGCAGTCATGTGATCAAGGCCTAGAGCCGATTCTTCTATGGTCGGCTCTGGAGCTTTCAACAGATCACAGTCTCCTCCCAGATAATACTCAGATATCGTCCAGGTCGGAATCAGGTTGTTCTACATTAAGCACAAAAACAAAGATTAAGAAACAAGCATCATGAACGGATAAATAACATCTTTTGCTCATTGAAACGAATTCAGTTCAAATTTCTTAAATATCAATAAAGGCACCAAGCCAATTAAACTTAAATTCGAAGTTTCGAGCTCAAACATCAGCGACCGATTGTTTACGAAATCGATCTGAAGTTCATGACATGGTTTTCCAAATATATTCTCAAGTTGTTCTTTTTTCGTTCCTTTCCCGTTTCCAGCTTCCAGCATGTAAAGATTACTTTCAGTTTTCCTTTCCATTTTAGCCTTGTTTTTTTGGTTAATGAGAAAGTGTTTCAAGAGAATAAACTAAACCAAGTCCCCAACTTTCTCCCTTTCCAGGAGAACCCAGAAAAACCATGAATCACAAAGTTAACACAGAAGCAAAGATCAAGGAAAGTAAAGGCAACAAAAGAAGCCAGAGCCACAGATTTTGAGATATTCAATACCATTGAATCATTGGGTTTCTGGGTTTTCCAGGAATCTCCAAGCTGCTGAAAATCTTGAGCAGCAAAGTTGTGCATGTAAGGGGAAAACAGCCCTCTCTCTGCATACATTTTTCTTTTCAACTAAACAAAACACGCACTTTCCTCGATCTTTTCACAAAAAGAACACAACTTTTCTTAATGAAATTTCACTCTTTTCTCGGAAAATAGATCCAAACAAAGCATCAAAAAAACTCAAGAAAGGCAGAAGCTTTGGGGTTTGAATAATTCTGGGTTTTGAATGAAGAACCGAAAGGAGTGCGAAATTTATATATACATGTAAGAATCAGTGTTACTATTCAGCTAGTTGTAAACAAAATGGAGGGCAATGCAAACACTATAATAGGACAAAGCGTAAAAGACATCAAGTACTGTCGAGTGTCCCACTGTTCCTAATCACGCTCACTATTTATTTGAGTGGGAATTACTATTTAATTATTTCATTGATAATAAGGGTAAAAAATACAAATATTTATTTTACGGTCGGATATTATTTTTTTAAGTTTTTTGATTATTAAAAATTAAAAAATAGTCCTCTGAATATAGTGTTAATTTGTTGAGTTTCTCGATTATGAAAAGTTATAAAATGGTCACCCAAATATTTATTATGTTCCAAAACTCATCTTTTTTCGTTAAAAAACTAACAGTATTATGAGCTTAACGTTAATATGATTGTGATATGATAAAATTTGACCTCTGAATCTCAAACGACTATCATATCCCAGTCATCATGTTAACGCCTAACTTAGACAATCGTTAATTTTTTAATATAAAAGAATGAGTTTAGAACATAATAAATAGATGAGTAACCATTTTGTAAGATTTAATAGTCGAATAACTTGAAAAAAACATTCTATAATCAGATGCTCATTTTGTAACTTTTAATAGTCGAGAGACTTAATAAAGTAATACCTTATAGTCAAGGAACCATTTATGTATTTTACAATAATAATAATTTTATGATTTATTTACACAAATATTGTTACTAAAATAATTATTTTCAAAAAAAAAATAACTTTCATTTTTTATTATTTTCTAAATTGATTTTTATTTGTTAGTAAGACATGTCGAGTTAGAGTCACGTGTTTGACTTTATTTTTTTTTGTATAATTATCGGTTCTCAATTTATTAATTGACTAATCTAAATAAGATATTACAACAAAGAAGGCGACCCTTTCAACCTTGATTGTTTTATTCACAAAACTCAGGATTCGAACTTTTAACATTTACTAAATATTCAGTGTCTCATCTCACTAAATCAATTGAGTTGATACGTAAAATCATATATTAATGATAAATAAAATGTCTTATTTTCAAAATGCCTACCTAATTTTTTCCTTTCCTTGAGACGGTAACATCAAATGGTACTTAATTAGAGTTTAGAATAAAAAAATGTTAATTATTTGTTTAATGAAGATAAATTTGACTAATAAAGTAAACTGTAGCATCCCATAGATATGATTGTGACTGAAATAATAAAAAAAAATAAACAATATTTTTTATTTTATTTCATATTTCATTGTCATGCAGGTAACAAGGACAACATGAACTGGCCCCTTAGGCCAAAAAGAAGACGGGTTCAAGTTGCAAAGAATGAGACAAAAAAAATAAAAATTAAAGGCTGACATTTGCTTCTATATTAGATTTAATTTATTATTATATTTTCATATTAATTTAACTCTTAAAATTATTTAATTGTATCATTTTATATTATTTCTTTAACTAAAACCTTAAATTATAAAACTTATGTTAGAGTTTAGAATTTAGTTTTGTGGTTTAGGATTTAGGGTTTAGGGTTTAGGGTTTTAATTTACAGATATAATATAAAATGATTTAATTGAACAACTTCAAGGACTAAATTAATGTAAAAATACGATAAGGAATAAAGTAATAAATTGGATCCACATAGACAAAAGTTATCCTTTTCCAAAAAAACAATTCATACTTAGGTTTTAGCCAATAAAAAGAATTAGATAATAATAACAAAAGATAATAGTTAAATATATATATTTAATGAGATGAGGTACAAATTTTTCTAAATAAGTTCAACTATCTAAATTTCAAAAAGAGTTAATTGCACTAAATGTCCCTAAACTATGACTTTTATTTTAGATTGGTCCTTAAACTTTTAAATATTCTAATTTCATCTCCAAAAATATGACTCTCATTCTAAATTAGTCCTTTAATTTTTAAACACTCCAATTTCATTCCTAAACTATGACCATCATTCTAAATTGGCCCCCAAACTTATAAATCTTTCAATTTAATCCCCAAATCCATTCACACATGCAATTAGTTTCAACCATAGTTTAACCTAATTTTTATTTTTTTCCAAACATACAATTATATAATTTGGCCTAACGGTTTTATTAACAAGAGAAGTGATTAATATATAAATATAGTTTGGGATAAAATTGGAATGTTCAAAAAGTTTGGGACTAATTTAGAATGAAGGTTATAGTTTAGGGATGCAATTGAAATGTTCAAAATATTTGAGGACTAATTTAGAATGATAGTCAAAGTTTAGAGATATAATTAAAATATTTAAACATTTAAGGATCAATTTAAAATAAAAATCATAACTTGAGGACGTGTAATATAATGAACTCTTTAAAAAAAAACTAAACTATGAGAGTCGTTCTCGTAATGATCTTATACACTACTTAGGGGTTATTTGATAAAATAAAATAATTAAGCGTTGAATGATTCAATGGCCTGAATGATTCAAATACTCTGTATGAATTGGCTCTGAATGTGACATGTTGTTTGATAATGGTTCTGAATGTACTTTAATGCTAATCATTCAGCAGCGTTTTGATGTTTCATTCAACATAGTCTTCATTCAAATGTGAGAATCAAATACGCTGAACACTGAACGGTTCAACATCCAGCGCTAAATGGTTTCATTCAGCATTAAACAAACAACCCCTTAATTTACATATTAACCTATCATTGAATCAAATGCCTATAATTATATGAAAATAGTAATTAAATCTCTTATCATTAGCACGAATTGAAGTATCTTAATAGTAAAGGAATTATTGTTATTTATTGATGTCCAAAATTCAAACACCGGAAATATTATAAATGTAAACGTTTAATGTCAAATGATTGAGAGTTATCTTTAAACATATATCGTCTTATACTTATCTCATATTAATAAAAAAAAATTCTTATCATCATAATTAGCGATTTTCTTTTAACGTTAAAAGAGATAAATCATCACTAATGTTTTATTTTATTTTATAAATTTGGGGTAAATACAATGTAACGTATATTCGTAAATAACTTTCAACCTTTCGACATTGAACGTTTACAGTCCTGACATTTACGGTGTTCGAGCCTAAGTCCTTAAAGAACAACAACAACAATTTTTTTACCACAAAAATCATTTGGTTCGTGACTAATTTTTTAGTTTAGACAAGAATAATGGGTATTGTTCGGATAAACGGCTTTCTGTCAATTTCAGAGTTTTGTTTCTTTGTCAAGTTTAAGCGTGGAATATGGGGTTGGGGCTGTAAAGCGTGAGAATTTCAACCAAATCATTTTATATTGCAAAAAGAAAAATAAAGGCGAGGGTTTGTACATTGTATTGTCCACTTTTGGATGGTTACGGTGAGAGTATGAAGGAACTTCAAATGCCATTGATGGCAAAACTGTTAAGGAAATTCTCTTGCAGACCGAATCCGCCAAAAATGTTTTTCATGCAAAGAATTGCACTTGGTTCACTTTCTTGGTTTTAGGTAAATGGGACCTTTTTGCATTTCGACCATCTCTCCTAGACATGGCACAAAACTCCATTCCACTTTCTTGGATTCTTTTTCCTTTTGGATGTAAGCCTCAAAATGGGTTGTTCTCGAGATAAAATTATAAAATCTCAAGGGTCAGAAGTTAAAAAATTTTGTCTAAAAAGGACTTGGATTGAATTATTAGTTGACTAATCGGGATCGATTATTCTCTTAATACAATGCATGTTAACGACGTACATGAAAAGATTGACGTTGTTTGTTTCTTCACTTTGTACTTTGAAGTGTAGGATTGGCCTGGTTTCGGATTCCATGCCCGGTGCTTCAATTCATTGGTAAAATTCTTTTATAAGTCCATTTATTATGATTGAATTGTAGATTTAGTCCTTATACTCTAATTTCATAATGGAATTACAGAGTCGGAGAACCCTAAAGAACTAATCAAGATTAAATGGTACATTAACGAGAACAAACCACATACCCTCTCAAGACAATGAAATGTAGTTCAACCAACCACACAATAAAAAAATTCTCAAAAAAAATTAGGATAAAGTACACAAATGGTTCCCCGACTATTAGGGGTGTATTCGGTTTGGTTTATTACCAAAAATTGAACCGAACCGAAATAAACGGGTTTTCAATATTTAAACCGAAACCTAAACCGAATAGTTAAAAAACCGAAAAAACCGAAACCGGTTTTTTCGGTTCGGTTCGGTTTTTTTAACGGTTCGAGTTTTTCGGTTCGGTTCGGTTTATCGGGTTTTCAATAAAAAAATCATTTGAAACTATAATTTTTTTTACAAAAATTGCCTATTCGGTTCAATATGAAACAAATGGGTTCCATATGAAAAACCCGAACTGAACCGAATCAAAAAATGAAGCCTTTAAACCGAACCGAAAATCGAACCGAAAACCGAACCGTTTAAAGCCAAACCGAACCGAAACCGAACCGTTTTACTCGGTTCGTGTCGGTTTTTCGATTTTCTCGGTTTCGTTGCTCAGCCCTACCGACTATATGATACTATTTTATTAAGTTCATCGATTATTAAAAGTTACAGAATGATTCATCGACTATAGAATGTTGCTTTGTTAAGCCATTGACTATTAAAAGTTACAAAATAGTTACTAGACTATTCGTTATGTTCACAACTCGTCATTTTCTGTTAAAAATAGACCATATTATGAGTTGAATGTTAATTTGTTGACTGTGAGACTCAATCCTAGAATCTTAAACGAATATCATACCCTAATCATCATGTTAACGTTCAACTTAAACAACCGTTAATTTTTTAACGAAAAATGATGAGTTTACAACATAATGAATGATAGGGTAATCATTTTGTAACTTTTAATAGTTGAGTAACTTTTAATTTTCAAAACATCCAAATTAAAAATCACCAGAAAAATACAGAATATTTTTTGTAAGTTTTCTATCCACGGTTATGAACAATTCGAATGCCTTTGACAGGAATCCAATTATGAAGGTAAGGTGTTCGACGAAATGATTTATCCCATATTTCCCTTATATCGACTAGTCATTGTTTCTAGGAAAGGGTATAAAAGCGCAGAATCGACAGGCAGAAGAGGGACCATTACAGATGTTGGCTTCCGAAACATTGAAAGCCATTGGCTTCGGCAATGGCAATATTCTCTTTCAAGGGGGGATGCTCCAGTGCAGCTCAGATGAAAAAACCCTGCCCCGGAATCGGACAATCGTGGTGTGGCCCGACTAACTTTTTATCAAAAAGGGCCTGTGAAAGGGGTCGATCGATTTGGCTTTTTTTCTGAGCACGTGTTGTCGCATGGTTGCGTGCTTCGGCCATGTGTGGGCATCGTTATTATGTTCTATGAAATTCCTGAATGGGAAACAAGTTTTAGTGAAGGAGTGTTCATGAATCATGAAGAGATGTCTCTGGGTTTTAGAAGATTAGTTTCAGCTAGAAATTTGATTAACTTGCACTTGTTATCTCGTTAATTACCGACCAAAGTCTCATATTTGGATATCCCAGAGGGGGGCAAATAGCCCATGTAGGGCAGTGAAAAAGAGTATTGATTCAGATAAGGTCTCGTCGGATTTATTTTTTAATCTAATGTGAATGTTACAGTATTTATCGAGAAATGTTGAAAACACAATGCTTGTCATCACAGTGCATCTTCTGTTTTATTTCTATGGTACTCTCGGCATTTTAACCGTGTGAAAAATGGAAAAGACATTATGTTCTCGACGAATTCCTGACATTGTAACAGCCACGTTATTTGAAAAAAGAATTTTAACGAAGCTCTATAAAAGCTAATTATTTTTTCCAACATCCCATTCATAGAGGAGTACGTAAATATGGATTGGTCCCGTCCTCAACAGCTTGGAGGCCTGGGTTGGGCTTGCTATTCCCCCATATCCTCTTGAAATCTAAAATTTATCCCCCTTTGTTATAGAATCCCTTTACGATTCTAGGCTTCTGGTAAAGCTTGAGTGATGATCTCCAATGTCCACAAAACCCAAAACTATCCTGCATTAAGCTAATAAAATGTGAGGATGCAGACCTGAATCTCTCTTCATAATTATCTGGCGTTTTTGGCCCATTACCGCAAACAAAAAAAGAAATTAGGATTTTAGGACACATTTACTTTTTATTAGGGATTTACAACATTTGTTACAATGTTTAACGAACTCGTTAAGTATGGTGACGAGTTCGCCCAAATAATTTTTTTATTCGAATTCCTCATCTCGTGGGGATGAGTTTCAATAAAATATATATTTTTTATTAATTTTTATCACATCAGGGGTAAAAATTTTAAAAATACATATTTTTATTATTGAATTTCATCACCTCGATGTGACGAGTTCTATGCACTGTAACAAATTTCGTAGTTCCCAAATTAAAAGTCAAACTGCCTTAATTCCCTAAATATTTTTCTTGGTTACCGTCAGTGGAGGATCTAAAAATTTAAGAATGGAGTTCCAAAATTTTAATTTTATTTTCTTAAAAATAATGGGTATACAAAAATTGTAATTTTTTTCTTTTTTTTTTCCCTTAACATATTAAGCTAAATTTAACCACTTTTACAAAAATAATTGGGATGCACTTGGCCCATATAGGAGCTTAGTGCATCCGCCACTAGTTGCCGTAATGGGCCAATTTCGCGTAATCATCTTACATATTCGAATAAGAATGGAGTCACATTGTATGTCGGAGATGAGATGGATCTATAAATTTTATATTGAGGATATCAACTTTTAAAAAATATATTAAAATTTTAGAAGCACAAAACTAGGTCGTAAAAAAATTAAAGAAAAAACTTAAACTATATGAAAATTTAAAATTTTCATAATTATGATTGTCCTTCAATATCCCTTGATCCATCCTTAGGTTGGACGGGCATGACTAGGGTTGTAAATGAGACAAGACAAATCATGAGCTACCCGATATTGCCTTGATCAAAACTCGATAATAGACTCGGTTCGAGCTCGACCCGAGTTCTTAACAAGTCGAAACGAGATACTTGATACTCGATTCAAAAAGCTCGTGAGCAGCTATAAAATATAACATATTAAAATTTTATTTTATTTAAAAATAAATTATTAATAATATTAACATTTATGTGTTTTTTAACAAACAAAAAAATTCGAACGTTAATATTAACCAAAACGATATTTTGCATGAACTCCTACTCTTAGGCTCCCTTTCAAGGAGATTCTACAAAACCAAGATTTTACGCATCGTTAAACAATCGCTTTTGGATTAATATCGTTCTTAGCTTGAACAGCAACCTCCTTCCTTCATCGCGGATACATCTTTGCCGACGTCAATTTTCTCACGTTTGTAGTTCCGAAAGCGGAAGTTTCCATGAAGCAGAGGGACTCTTTCCCGGCAAAGAACTTCCCGTCTTTGGTCGAGACGGCCACAAGGTGACGAAGATCTGATTTGTTGCCGATGAGCATGACTACAATGTTGGGGTCAGTGTGTTCCCTTAACTCTCTTAACCACCTCTTGACGTTATCGAACGTGGAGCGCCGGATAACATCGTACACAAGAAGCGCACCAACAGCTCCTCGGTAATAGGCACTTGTTATAGCACGATACCTATCGCCTATCGGTTTGAAGAGAGAAGATAAGAAAATGGCATAAAAACAGGCATAAGAAGTATGAAACGTACAGATTTCTAACACTCGTTTCAGTACATAAGAAAATAGCATATTATAGTGTCATTTACATTAACAAATATCACATTGTAATATTTTAATTTGATTTGATTAGATTTGATTTGATTAGATTTGATTTATATATATATATATTTATTTATAACATTTATAATAAATGTAAAACATATATAACAATAAAATTTCATGTCTGTACAGAAGTGAAGATAACTCTTCAAGTTTACAATTAGATAAACATAATCAGACTGGATTCATCTTCTTCTCAACAGGGCAAGATCTTCCTTGTGGCTCGAGCCGTCTTTTCTTTTCTAATGTCTAAAATAAATCTTTCCTTGTGCATCATCGTTGATAATAGCGTGAAGCTCCTCAGAGAAGTCAACGGGCATTAACACTGCATCGTTCTGACTAGCATGCGACCTTGAAAGATAATCGGCTGCTTTGTTAGCTTCTCGCCATGAATGTGTCACGCGGTAACCTTTAAACATAGCTAACAAATTCCATATTTGGCTTAAGTAGTGACCACTCTTCGAACTGTAGGATTGTTCCCGGTTAATGGTTTTCACAACACTCATCGAATCCGATTCAACCCAGACTATACTAACACCTAAATTTAGGGCAAGAAGAAGACCCCTCCACACGGCCGACAGCTCCACCAAAAAGATATTTTCTTCAGGAGTTCTTGTGACGAAGGCACATAGCGGTTTACCCTTGTGATCTCGAAACAAACCAGCCAAACCAGAATACCCCGACATTACTGATCCATCCGTGTTCAGTTTGATGCACCCTACTTCAGGCTTCTTCCATATACACCATTTAATCGGCGGTACAAGGATCGGAGAAACACAACCAGTTGTAGAAGCTGCGTGTAGTTTTCCACCCTTGGAATTACACTTACACCAAGTTGAATTTGAAGCATATAAGACGCCGGAGTTATTGGAACTTGAAATAGATTTCTTTGACACCCACTTGTTCAATTTAGGAGCACTATCTAGGATTGTAGCCATTGATTGATTCTTAGGGATAGAGGGTGTATTTGACGAAGGAGGGTTTAGAAAGATGAACGAGTGAGGAATGACTGATAGAAAAATGTTTCGTGGTTCAATTTATAGGAGAAATAAAGTTTGAGGAAATACATAAATCCAATTTCAATTAGAATTAAATTCTGTATAAAAGAATTCTAAGTTAATTAGGAGACAAACCTTATATTTATACATTACATATATATTTACATTAAACTAGGATTGCATTATTGTTTATTTGTATAAAAGAATCCTAATTTAACACATACGAGTTTGTTTTTGTAGACAGAGTAAAACTAGGATAAGAAACGATTGGCGCGAATAATGATCAGGCGCCGGAAAAGGTTTACCGGCAGTGAGAACACTTGACAGCTGGCCTCTCATTCATATCTGACTCTTGAGCACGAATAGTGTTTCGATCTTTATGTTGTAACCAAATCATCCGAGATAATTACGCAAAAATATTTTTTAAGTTAAACACATTGTTATTAATAACAAAAAATTTACACACAAATAAAATTTTAGCGTGAGCATCTTTTATAAAATAAACAACTTATATAAAAAAAAATTCAAATGTTAAGTTGAGTACATACCTCTAAACAATACATGCATCCGCCAATCCAAGACGACTGAAACCAATACTTGTCTTCATTGTCGAGTAAATTACATAACTCTCTTTTTGCACCATTAAGCTCGTGTAAAATTTTTTGTTTCAGAAACCTTATACGTCCACCTCAGCTATTTTGTCCAATGGAAACCAACATATACGTAGGCAAGACCTTCCATAGCCAAGCAATAAGCACATAAAAATAAAACAATAGATTTGTGAAGGCGTATCTAAATCTATGGTTGTAGATTATTTCTAGAAAGATGAGTTTCTCGAATATAATTTTCTGACGGGATAAAAAATAAAAATTGACCTATTTTTCAAAAATCATAATCTCTTTATATAACTGATTTAAGAATCAGTTATTACATATGTTTATTACTCTGTTTATTATTAAATTATAAATATAACTTTAATAATATCTGCATTTTTATATCTATTATACTTCTAATATCTTATGATATGTATAATATAATTGATCTTATGACATGTATAATATATACACTTTTATTTTTATTGTACTTCTAATATCTTGTGATGTGTATAATATATTTAGGTTAGTATCTATGGAATTCTCTGAAAAGATAAAAAAAAAAATTACAAATGGACCTATTTCTCGATATTGCTGTTGACTAATTGTGCCGAATGTATCATTTCCTAATTACTCTATCAGCAGAATCCAAGTGAGCCCTGGGGCTTGTTCTTTACATGTGCATTTTACAGCATCTTAATGGAGACTTCATATTTACGTGGGTTTCCATATTAATATGAACATCACATTCCATAAATGTTCTTTGGTTAAATTACACGCTTACTCACTTAACTTTATTCTCTTTCCTATTTTATTCACCGTACTTTCAATTTTTTCAATTTATTTATTGAACTTTAAACATTTAACTTTTCTGGTCACTCGACCATTAATTTTGTAATACCGTTATGACGTGGAAGTTAGGGTTGTAAATGAAACGAGACATATCGTAAGCTACTCGAGATTGACTCGATCAAAACTCGATAAATAATAGACTCGAATGGACTCGAGTTCAGCTCGAACTGAGTTATTAACGAACCGAAGCAGTTTGAAAATATAATATATTAAGATTTTATTTTTAAAAAAAATAAATTATTAATAATATTAACATTTATGTTTCTTTTTCTTACAAAATGCAATATAAGATTTTCATGTATTTAAGGTACATGTTCGAGTTAGAGTTTGAGGCTTCAAACGAGTTAAGTTTAAGAAAAGAAAATTCATTTCGAGTTTTTTCCGAGCTTTTACTAACTTCACTTCATGATTCCGAATTCGAGTCGAACTTAAAAATTTTAAGATCGCGAGTTTTCGAGTAAAATCGAGATCAGCAAGTGCCTAACCCTCAACTTTAAATGTTGTTGGAGCATTTTGACATAATATATAATCATCGTGAACCACTAAATTATAGTTTGATTGGCTTCATTACTTAACTTGCTTAAAAGAGGGGCATAATGGCCTACTTTATAGAACTAACATGGTGCAACTGCAAAGTGGCAAAGCCATAAATGGAGTGTTAGTTTTTAAAACACACATATATCTTGTTGGCTAAGCAATTAAATGCGGAGTTTTTCATGGACTGAATCCATGGAAATCAAATTTCAGGGATTAAATTTAAAATGAAAAAAGTGCATAGAGTACGACATATTAGACCAATCCAAAAAAATGGTTAAAAAGTAAAACGAAGTTAGAAATCTTTGTTTTCCCTTTTCTAGTGAGGGAGAGAGCGGTAATCCTTTCATACGCCAGTTAAATTTAAGGTTAAATAATAATAAAAAATAAGTATGATTGAAAATATTATAAAAATCATACTATTTTAAATTGTATATAATTTGAAATATTATTTTTTTAATATTTTCGATTGAATCGAAAATCTTATAAAAATGTTTTTAATCTAAAAATATTAAAAAGAAAGCTAATTAATCTAAGATGTTAGAAATTTTTATAACGTTTTCGATCGATCTATCCGACCTTAAATTAAGTTGTTTTTCCGTAGATTTTTTGATCGTTTAATTTCGAAGACCTTTTACAGTGGGCAAAAAGTGATGAAAGTAGAGGACAACTCATTGGCATTTGGCACCACCTCTTTCTTTTATATAACCCCACCACACTCTTTACACCCTTTTACGTACATTCATATGATCACGAAGCAGCTGTTGAAGTAATTTCACAGCCACACACAGAAGAAAATTACAATGGGATACGACAAGCTCCGACGACCGGAGCCCGGAAGCTCCGGGAACCATCGGCAACAACATGAGGAACCCAGATGTCAGAATAAGAAGACAAGGCTTGTTATCGTTTCATTTATTGCTCTTGGAATGATCATCATCTTGGCTGTTTGTGCGGGGATAGCAATCGTGGTCAGTGAACGAGATGGCGGCGCCTCCCCGATCCGCCGTAAGCCCAGCCAAGCTATTTCCAGTACGTGTAGCAAGACTTGGTTCCCGAACCTCTGTGTCGACTAGCTCCTCCAGTTCCCCGGCTTGCTCACCGCTAACGAGCAAGACCTCGTCCACATTTCGTTCAACATGACGTTGCGCCACTTCAGTCAAGCTCTTAACACGACGTCTTTGATCTCCTCCGTCCGGATGGATCCACGTGTGCGGTCGGCGTACGACGACTGCCTCGAGCTTCTGGAAGACTCCGTGGACGCAGTCTCCCGGTCTCTCTACTCCGTCGTTCCTTCCGAGGACGGCGGCGGCTCAAAAGGCGTGTCGTCATCCCACGACATGGTTGGGGAGGAAGGAGAGGCAATTGTTGAACACTCCGGTGTCGGCGATCCAGGCTGATATAATCGTTTCGAATGACGGAAACGGCACCGTTAAGACGATTAAGGAGGCGATTAAAAAGGCGCCGGAACATAGTACTCGACGAATCATCATTTACGTGAGGGCAGGAAGGTAAATTAGTGTTATAATAATTTTAAATTCGGATTTACCACGACAACAGTAACTATTTGAGGCATTATTAATATTATTTTATCAAACTATAATAAAATTGATTGAGATGAATAATTAACATCATATTAAATAGAAATACCGTAATAGTTAAAAATTATATAATGTGATTTTCAGGTACGAGGAGGAAAATTTGAAGGCGGGAAGGAAGAAAATAAACTTAATGTTTATGGGGGACGGTAAGGGTAAAACAATAATTTCAGGAGGTAAAAGTCTACTTGACAACATGACGACGTTCCACACCGCTTCCTTCGGTAAGTCTGCCTTCCTTTTTCTTGGTGTTAAATATATATTTTAGTGCAAATTCAGGTGTATATTTACCCTTTCTTTAAATCCTCCTTGGTAAATATAAGTTTTAGAAAGCTCACACTGGACCAAAATCTTTTAAGACATGCATGATGTTGAATTTGCACGCGGGCAGTTATTCTAGAGAGACAGAGTACTAGATTCCTATAGCCACTTTACCCACCCTTGTCTTCTTTTGTAATTTGTTATTTCGGTAATATCTGGTTTAAACATATTCAATTATTTAATAATGAACTCTTAATCACTCTATTATATTAGTTAATGTTTGAACTCATAATCTCTAAAAACAATAATGATTCAAGTGAATTAGTTCATGCAGCTGCTAAACAATGTTTTTCAAAAGAAAACTATAGAGATGAACATAATTGGCATATGGGTCATGGGGTTATCTCCTAGCCCTAAATGTGCATGTGTTATTGTCAAATAATCAAGTATTTTTATTTATTTATTAGGATTTGAGTGTCGGATATAAATATTTAAGAAATTATATATGCACATTGACAAAGAGAAATACACGACATAAATCAAACATTGATGTTTACCTTGTTTCTTTTTTCCTGAGAAACTTGTATGGATGTATTGATTGTTTACAGCTGCGACCGGGCCGGGTTTTATTGCAAGAGACATGACATTCGAGAATTGGGCCGGACCAGCCAAGCACCAGGCCGTGGCTCTTCGTGTCGGGGCGGATCATGCTGTTGTTTACCGTTGTAACATCATCGGTTACCAGGACACTCTTTACGTTCACTCCAATAGACAGTTCTACCGCGAATGTGATATTTACGGCACGGTTGATTTTATCTTTGGTGACGCCGTCGTGGTGCTTCAGAATTGTAGCATTTAAGCCCGGGAACCGATGGCCTTGCAAAAGAACACGATAACGGCCCAAAACCGAAAAGATCCGAATCAGAACACGGGCATTTCGATCCATGCGTCTCGGATTCTACCCGCGTCAGATCTAGTCGTGTCACAGCCGTCTTTCGGTTGGGCCCCGGAATTGGGCTTCGACTTGAAAATGTGGATTGGAGTCGCCACCGATCATTTATTTAAAAATAAATGGGTTGATCGGATACCCTATTTCTTACCT